GGTTTAAAAAGTATTTTCTTTTAAATTATGAAGTAGAAGACTTACTGTGATTATAACTGAAGACAATGAAATAAATTCTGTATCAGATTGGTAAGTTGAATTATTTACAATAATTATAATTATCATTAAATTATGTTTTATAAGTTTTTAAATATTGAATATTTTTATGGGTGGTCCGTACCGGATATTATCGAAACCGGTCCCAAACCACTCTGTTGCCCCATTGTGGGCCTTGCAAACCCATAATTGGCATGAAAAAAGGATGTTTTAGTGCCCGTAGAGCACAGAGTTTTATAAAAGCTATGACTAAAGTTATCTTCAAAATTTAAAATGATTAGGCTATAAAACAAATACTTCTCGAATCATAAAATAGTTAAATTGTATAGAGAAAATATATACAAAATATGCTAATTACTGTATTTTTTTTAATTTTAGTTAATTTCATGAAAATTTCAATTGTTACTACATTATTACATTATTACAGTGGAAAACAATTAATATATGACATATTTCTTGATGAGTTGACATATTTTCTGAGGGGCCCTAAATGCAACTAATTTTGAAGCCCTTTGAAATATCCTTTCATATTTTCTACTTAGAGATTTCGTCGGAGGTTCCAAGCATTTATTTAGAATTATTTAAAAAAATAACAATTTCTTTAAATAAGATATGCAATACAGTAAAGCGTCGTTTATCCGAATCAATTGGGGACGGGGGTTGTTCGGATAACCGATTATGTATGAAAAAAATATTAACCTATCCCATGTTGAAACTTTTCTCCTATGCGTGTCGTTCGTGTTGAATTTTCGTCAATGTTAAGCCTAACGTAAATTTTTTAAAATAATAATCGTGGCTATTGTATAGTTAAAAATGATTTCTTTATTTTGTACAAACAAAATAAATGTATTGAAAAATATAAAAACAAAAAAATTATCTAGTATCAAAAACGTTCGATTCAACACAACACAGTCCGACTGGAACGCTTTCCGTTAACGGACGTTTCGGTTGATCGGCTTTCGGATAAACGACCTCTACTGTATAAATCATGTTGAATTATCTGGCACAATAATTATGTATAGACTTGTATAGTAAGTTTGTTAATCGTGTACTCGATAATCCGGCATCGTACGAAACATCTATAATTATTCGATAATAATCCGGCACGCTAATATTCCGCGAATTTGTTTGAACACGTGTCCAAAAAATTCCATGATTTTCAACCAGGTTGCCGTAATGACTCTTCAGGGGTGCCAAGAAATACCGTGTTTCCCCGAAAATAAGACATCCGCAGAAAATAAGACCTAGCACAGATTTTGCTGAATTGCGAAATATAAGACCTCCCCCTGAAAGTAAGACCTATCGAAGTTTTTTTTAGTCGTAACGGTCATCGACAGATGGTTGAAAGTGGCCGTTGGCTTTTTGAAAGTACAGCCACTGATTGGTCAGCAGACAATTATGCCACACGGCATGATTTGCATAAGGCTATGGCTTGGGAATCACAGATTTGCATAACGTTACGGCTGGTGATGGCTAATTGGTCGGCCGGGAATCACGCCACATGACATTTGCATAGTGCTACGGTTCAGTAAGCACTAATTGGTCATCGAGTCCGATGTTGACGCTATAAAAAGGCGATTGTCCGACACACCGGATATAAGTCACTCTCGTCTAAGTTCGACTTGAGAATTTTTTTGTTCAATAATAAATGTGACTTCTTCTTCCTGAAAATAAGACCTAGCGCACTTTTCAGAGCAAAAATTAATATAAGACACTGTCTTATTTTCGGGGAAACACGGTACAGTGATGGGCAGCTCTACATTTTTTCACAAATTTTCATAACACACTTGTATGTTATGAAAATTTATTCTATAGTATACGTAATTAAAATTATAAATTATTTAATACTTTTTAAATCATTTTATAGAAAATACTCATTACAATTTAAACTAATTAATATGTATTATAGACCCATGCACAAGATAATATAAAGTAGGGATTCAACAAGAAAAAATTATCAAGTTTGGAGTGAATCTATTAATTAAAAAGGTTGAAAACCACTGGCTTATCCCAGCAAACGAAACTAAACAGGATACTCGTATTGTGATTATTATAGCTTACTACAGCAGTTTACTAATTATGTAAAAGATTCAAAATTAATGCAAATAACGTAATGTAGGGTTGTTTTAATTCTGTAAGGGTTGTTCAAATGAAACAAAGACAGGATCATATAACACACGTAGTATCACTGGTCCTATAACAGGATTACAGCATGAGAAGTGACGACGATTTTCTTTAACACAGAGGCATCTTTTGAAATTATATCGAAGTTAGTTTTCCCATATACACCCTGTTTTAGTCAGATGAGAGCATCCGCAACGTTTTCGATTTAAAAATTGATATTAAAGGTAATGTTATCGCATAGAAAGAGGAAGCTGCTGAATAAACCATTCAGTTAGAGATGATAGGACTTTGCTATTAAACTGGAATCTACCATCTTTGAGAAAATTTAAATATCCGAAGAAATGAAAGTTACAAGATGAAATATTGGGACTGTAAGTAGAGCCGGCCCTACCATAGGGCAAACGGAGCAGCCGCTCCAGGCGCTAAGTCCTAGGGGACGCTTCAGTGATAAAGAAAATTAAAGGGTATAAATTAGGGGCAACGAACAGAGGCGCCATAATAGGATTTCGCTCCATCCTAAAACTTGCTTCGGGCCGGCACTGACTGTAAGATGGATGCCGCAGAACTCACTATCCAAAACGATTCTCTTTTTTGTGCGAAGGATACAAACAAGTGTCTGAATGAGGAAATTATTTCCAATAGCAGCTAAAGCAACTATACCACTTTAATGTATACATGTTGTAATTATGCTTTAGAAACCAATGACTTGGCTACATATATCATATAGTCAATTCTACGTTTTATTTGAACAACCCTTATACTATACTAAATCCGTGTTTAATTGGCTTTGAATTAACATAAATATACTCTATTTTTTAAAATTTCAAATAATAAAGTTAATATAGGCTATATATTTTAAAAAATTATATTTGTGACAAAAACAAGGACTTTACAGATATTTACCCTTGAAACTCTAAGAATGACATCAACATGAATCTTCTGAAGAAAATGAAATAAATTCTGTATCAGATTGGTAAGTTGAATTATTTACAATAATTATAATTATCATTAAATTATGTTTTATAAGTTTTTAAATATTGAATATTTTTATGGGTGGTCCGTACCGGATATTATCGAAACCGGTCCCAAACCACTCTGTTGCCCCATTGTGGGCCTTGCAAACCCATAATTGGCATGAAAAAAGGATGTTTTAGTGCCCGTAGAGCACAGAGTTTTATAAAAGCTATGACTAAAGTTATCTTCAAAATTTAAAATGATTAGGCTATAAAACAAATACTTCTCGAATCATAAAATAGTTAAATTGTATAGAGAAAATATATACAAAATATGCTAATTACTGTATTTTTTTTAATTTTAGTTAATTTCATGAAAATTTCAATTGTTACTACATTATTACATTATTACAGTGGAAAACAATTAATATATGACATATTTCTTGATGAGTTGACATATTTTCTGAGGGGCCCTAAATGCAACTAATTTTGAAGCCCTTTGAAATATCCTTTCATATTTTCTACTTAGAGATTTCGTCGGAGGTTCCAAGCATTTATTTAGAATTATTTAAAAAAATAACAATTTCTTTAAATAAGATATGCAATACAGTAGAGCGTCGTTTATCCGAATCAATTGGGGACGGGGGTTGTTCGGATAACCGATTATGTATGAAAAAAATATTAACCTATCCCATGTTGAAACTTTTCTCCTATGCGTGTCGTTCGCGTTGAATTTTCGTCAATGTTAAGCCTAACGTAAATTTTTTAAAATAATAATCGTGGCTATTGTATAGTTAAAAATGATTTCTTTATTTTGTACAAACAAAATAAATGTATTGAAAAATATAAAAACAAAAAAATTATCTAGTATCAAAAACGTTCGATTCAACACAACACAGTCCGACTGGAACGCTTTCCGTTAACGGACGTTTCGGTTGATCGGCTTTCGGATAAACGACCTCTACTGTATAAATCATGTTGAATTATCTGGCACAATAATTATGTATAGACTTGTATAGTAAGTTTGTTAATCGTGTACTCGATAATCCGGCATCGTACGAAACATCTATAATTATTCGATAATAATCCGGCACGCTAATATTCCGCGAATTTGTTTGAACACGTGTCCAAAAAATTCCATGATTTTCAACCAGGTTGCCGTAATGACTCTTCAGGGGTGCCAAGAAATACCGTGTTTCCCCGAAAATAAGACATCCGCAGAAAATAAGACCTAGCACAGATTTTGCTGAATTGCGAAATATAAGACCTCCCCCTGAAAGTAAGACCTATCGAAGTTTTTTTTAGTCGTAACGGTCATCGACAGATGGTTGAAAGTGGCCGTTGGCTTTTTGAAAGTACAGCCACTGATTGGTCNGAATTTTTCTCATACAAATTGCAATGAATTAAGAAAGAGATTTATTCTTTCTCAGACTTTAAGGAACCAAAAAGTTATTTTTTAATTAAATAATTTAATTAATTATTAAGCACTATTTAAAATTAAAATAATAAGTATTTGTGATGATATATCGATATATATTTAACATTTTATCTATTTAATTTTTTTAATTCACGATTAAATTATAAAGCAATTTTTTCCTAACTTCTCTCCACACAAAATACTGTTTTAAAATTCAAACAGAATATTAGTTTTTTTAAAAAATTGATTTTAATGTTTTATACATTGCAGATTAATTAAGCGATTTATTTGTCGTAGAAGCTAATTATTATAGAATAATCAGTAATATAACGTCGATGTCAACTGAAAACAAAGTAACTCGTGTTCCTATTGGTAGAATCATAACCCGTATCGATGGTTGGATTTTTTAAAAGTCAGTGCTATGTTGAAATCTCTTCAATAAGCCTATTTACTAGGTTTTAAAATAATGCTAAATTGTTAATAACACGACAGCAATATGTCGAAGCAAGAGCAGATCTCCTTTCATCCCCAAATTACCTACGAACTTCAAACGACCGATCCCACTTGCTATCAGAAAGTTACTCCCAGTTACGATAATTATTTGATGAAAGATGAATTAACTCCCGATAACAGGAGTAAGAGGGATTCGATTTTTGGAAGTGAAACTTTTATCAATGCTCCTTATTACACCTACGAGGCATCACCGTGCGATGCTAATTATAGAAATAGTTTATCCTTTGGTAAGAATCTCGGTAGACCTACTCTTGATGAACTGCATAACCCTGTAGAAAAGGAACAGGTAAATATATACATATATTAATTGGCTAATTATATAGATCTAACTTGAGAGATTAATTATAGTTATTATTAATTTGACAAGTTTTAATGCATGTTTTCAGAAATTTTTATATATTTTAATGTATAAAAATTAATTTTGTGTTAGTTAAATGTTGACAAGAATTAAAAATTATCGCTGAATTTCTTAAGTTTCTGTTTAAAAAATAAGCATTAATTAGACCAGGCATGGCCAACATACAGCCCGTCTAATGAATTTATGTGGCCTGCGATCAATCTTTCAATATTAGGTACTCAAGTCCGAATAACTCGATGAAAAGTTCTGACGCCTAAAAAAAAGGTCAAGAACTCACTGTGTGTTTAGAGTTAACCCTCCATTACAAATTTCGTAAGTACAGCGTAGAGTGTTGATAAAACATGATAATGTGAAAAATGTATCTGTAATCTCTATCTACAATTCAGTCTCTACGGGGTGACACCACAATGAGATCTCGCACCATCTCAAAATCTTCCTAGGGCAGCCTCTGGTTCGGCCCCGTGAAAAAAGTTTGCTTTCCAATTTGGCCCGGGAACAAAAACTGTTGGCCACCCCTGAACTAGACATTATCTATACCTGTGCATCTGTTACACTTCACTTAACGCACTGTATATATAATATAATATTTATTTATTTATTTTAATTGTATTTTTTTCTAATAAAAGTTTAGAAATTAAATTAGAATAAGAATTTTGCCATTTATACGGCAAATGATGTCATAGAAGCGAATCAATTATTGAACAAAGCACTGTTCAATTATGCTCTAACAGAGCAATTCTATTGATTTAACTGGGAAGATAAATTAATGCTACGGTTAAAATAGTTTCCGGATAAAATTAAATCCAAGTGTTTCAATTTCACTCGAGAGATTCAAACGAAAAGGGAAAAAATTCGCTGATTGATGCAAATTCTATGTTTTACATTGATCGTGAGAAGCAAATCCTGTTGGCTAAATGAGATATAAATTATAATCTATAATTAAAAATAAAATCTTTATTAAAAACACTTCGAAGTACATAAAAATAATGTATATAAATGATCAAAATGGACAAACAAGCAATGGCTAGGTGCGCTCGCCTCACGAAATGTCATTAGAAAATTGAGTCAATGACGTCAATCCATAAATTCGATTGCGTTAAGAATCAATTATTATTTATAAAATACCTTAGTAGTGTTTTAACTGTGTAATGTCTATCGTATTTGTTCTTGACATGATTTTCTGTAATGTTAATTTTAAGTGTTAAATACTATAGGAATTAAACAATATACACTTTAAGTGAGAAAGTAAATGAATAAATCCATATCGGATCTCATGAAATGAAATGTATTTTTGTACAGTACAGTCAGGTTAAGTTAAGGCAACGCAACACTCGGGCGATCTGCCTAGGGGGATGTCTTCCGAGAGGTCTTTTTAAGGGAAACTGGCCCCTATTTGGGCATTACTGATGTGGAGAAAACCTGGAAAACTCCACGCGGCCAGCCCGTCCGAGCGAGGCGCGAACCCACGACCGAACTCCCAGTGTTCAGGGTACGAAGACCGCTTGGCCACTGGTGTGCTCGGGGTACACACGACCGAACTCCCAGTGTTCAGGGTACGAAGACCGCTTGGCCACTGATGGGCTCGGGGTACAGTCAGGGCCGTCGAGAGTTTATATGGGACTCGGGTGGAGAGGTCCCCCTTTTTTTTTGAACGAATGAAAAGCAGTTTTAAAGATTTCATTTTCTGTTAGTAAAAATAACATCAATTTTACAGAAGTAAGGAATCATTAGTCCCAAGATCCTGGAAAAATCCACAGCTCCTCCTTCTCAACGGTCTTGAGTATAGTAGCGGCCACAGTTGAGGCTCTGAATTCAAACTCGATAAAGATACCATAATTACCATGGACAATGATTTGTAACATCATTACCCATCCTTCAGCCATGCTGGTCCACCATATTGAGGGTCATACTCCCCTATAATGGGCATGATTTTGCAGGGGCACGTAGCATATCAATCGGTAGATCCGCTGCTACCTATAATGTGTGCCATTAATCAATCAATCAACAATATAGTACCATATAGAGAAAACCGGGCAGAACAGAACTTCCTATATTTTTTGGTCAGCGGGTGGTGCAAACTATCGGGAACTTCAAGAACTTCATAAACTCTACAGCGTATTTTGCACTATCCAGGTCATTGTAAGTTGGTACCCCGTACTGAATAGAATTCATTCCTTTTCCCAGCAATATATAAGTTTACTGATTCTTATTCTCGCGATAAGTCAAACAGGTTAATAGCGAGGTTGAGGCCGAAGTTTTAAACGCGAAAACGTATACGTCGGACGTTCAGCGCCGCTTTTCTGTAAGCCTAGAAGTTTGACAATGATGTTTGGATAGTCAGTGGAATCATGTTCGACATTCCAAACATCATTGTCAAACTTCTATGCTTACAGGAAAGCGGCGCTGAACGTCAGACGTACACGTTTTTGCGTTTAAAACTTCGGCCTCAACCTCGCTAATGTTAAGTTTTAAACGCACGTCTATATCTTTAATATCGCACTTTGAACTGGAGATTTGCGTATTTATATTATATTCTTCAGTTTCTAACACGGACTAACAATCAAACGTCCAGGGTGGATCGTTTGCCAGAACTGCCCGTTTCATTTGCTGGAGTAAGCAGTAACAATGAAGATGCTATTCTAAGTTGTGAATTTTTCAGTTAAGTAAAAAAAGTTTTACTTGATCTTTTAAATTTTTTCAAGCGAATGTTCTACGTGCAATACGATTAATTTCGATAAGTAATATTCACATGAAGCAAAATAAAGAATAGTGTAATTTTATCAGTGATCATATTTAAGTAATAAGCAGAAAGTGTTCCGTTTTGCCCCGGTTTCTTGCTTTTTTATATCACAAACAACAGTTGGTGTAATTAATTCTTGTAGTTTTGAAATAAATATTATTTTGTCAAGTAGTCACAAAATTAAATTTGTTCATTTTTGAGCGTCTATGCATATCCTTTCCTATTTTACAACCCTTAAAGCCTTACTCTCCTGGTTTTCTGTATTTTGTTTAACGTGCATCTTACCTTGTTAGTTATGAAATTTTCCCTTAAATGCGCAATACTATATTTTTCATAGTCAGTTTTGTTTATATATATATGTTATAACGTTCGAATAACGTTCGATAGCAGAGAATAAGAGTGCCATTAAAGAAGCAGATGGGACAAGTTGAGCACTCTTCTCTTCTTTCTTTAATTATGCGACATAAGATATAATCATGCTAAAAAATTGAACAAATTTTTATCATCAATACTTTTAAATATATATTAAACAAAATAAGGAAATAAACGTTTATTTTATTCAGCAAAATTATCGTTTGGATAATTACTACGTTATAAAGCAAAAAGTTGTAAAAGGCAAATATGCAATCATTCAGATTCGAAACTTAAAATTACAATTCAAAAATCTAAATTACATATATTCTATTTTTCTATTCTTTTGCCTAAAAGTTGTCCTTTGCCTACTTAAATATTGTTTCTTTGATTAGAAAGGACTTATCAAAGAAACGATATTGTTAATAAAAACACCGTAGGTTATTTAAATGTTTACATTGTTTTAGCATACAATAATATAGAGTTTATATATATTTTTTCTTAATTTGCTATTTATTAAAGTATTAAGACGGACCTCTCATAAGTCCATCCTAGTATTTGCAAACAGAAACATGATGTAGATGGTGGCAGGTCATGTGATCGCTACAAAAGTACCATACCGTGAGAGAATTTTATGCTATGGTCACTGCCGGCCCGAGCAAACTCAGCGCCCTAGGCAAATGACTTTGACGTCGCCCCATTTAAAAAAAATTCGCAACAATATAAAACATCAATGTAAAATAGAGTATCTAATTTTTATTCAATATGCAGCACGCAATATCGTGATCGTGAGACTACGGCGCTACTTTCAAAATGGCGACTCGCGGGTCAACATGTGAGAAAGGATTGTGATCAAAAAACATTTATTTTTTCATTATTTATTGTAATTTATGCATGGATATTCGCCATGCCGTCCCCCGAACTCAAGCGCCTTAGGCCATCGCCTAGTTCGCCTATATGAACGGGCCGTCCCTGGCTATGGTGACTATAAACAGTAATCGATGTCAGTCACGACAAATACAAAATGTATATCACGTTTAATAAAGCCATTTATTACATTATTATGAAGTGTATTACAGAGAATACGCGATTGTGTGCACAGTTATACGGCTAGTGGTGTTGTCGCTTTGTTTTGTTTCAGCCTTGCGTTATATGCGTTATATACCTTGTGTTAACCAATATGGCTACTATAAATTTTCTATATTTTCAGTTTTCTGTGCACTGAATTTCGCTTTGTGTGTCATGCTTAGTTGTTGATTAGATAAGCAACTGTATTATTTTATGTATAGCTTATGTATACAGTATAGGAACCTCTGACATAATTACATGCAAATAAAATATTAAATGAGGAAATGTACTGTACCTACGAATGAATATAGTTTATTTTTTACACCTACTTTTCATGTATGTAGAGTACAATACATATACATATACATACATGCCTATTTATTTTTAACAAAATCGGAGGGCAATCCAGATAACCAGCGTCCAGATAATTGGAGTTTTACTGTCTACGCTAATATATGCCTTACGCGTTAAACTTTAGGATTATATAAATTATATAAGTATAAAGTTAAACCGCTTTAATTTCTCTAAGAATAATCGATTTTATATTAAAAAAATATTTGATTTTTAGTAAATCGAGAAACAAATGTTTATGATTTAATAGAGCATTCGTGAATTATTACAATATATTCCAGTGTAATGCTCGAATTCGATACAACTCGGGTTGGCACTTCTGACGATGGTGCCCCGATGCAAATTTCCAAAATAGTGCCCTACAGTTAAATTTTTTATATTTTTAATTGTTAAAACGGCTCTGTATTGCACAAGGCGTCCCCATGCAATATATGCTTATCAGCACCACCCCCGGATACAAAGAACTTTTTTCCATGTCGCTTTCTCATTTATTAGAACAAAATCCTTTGATCACAAACAAGTACAACAATTTTGAAATTCTTGATTAAATGGTTGCAATTTTATAAACAAGTTTCCATTCTTTTCGGCTCATTCAGGCGTCTTCGTTGGCAGAAGAGTTGCCATCACTTACTTCCACGATTTACCTCTACATTTTTTATTTACAATTCTTTAATTAAAAAATAAAAATTGTTTTAATTTTAATTTACTTTTATGTAACCTAATCAACACCTTTCAGTTTATTTTATTTCATTTAGAATCGTTGGTTGAGTGGTAAATACGTGTTAAGCTCGTCTCTAATATATTGTATTTTGACGCTCGTAAATCGTGGTCTTAATGTATCCCAATATTACGAGTATGTTTGCATAGTGGGAAGACATTTTTAAATTTAAAATGGAGTACGTGCCCTTCGCGTAGTGTCTAAAAGGAAGATGTATTCTCGTTTTGGAATACTCCTTCGACTAGTAACGCTTAATATATGGCAATAATATACTAATATATGAATTTGGAATCAAAACGGCTACTCGATTTACTAACTTTGTATAGGCCTACACTAAAACGTCGCGACGTTTTAGTGCATCAAAGGAATCTTTATATGTATAACGAAATTAATAGTTCCAAAATGGACGGATGGATGGCCGATGCAGTAAAGTCGTTAATCTACTGCTCTGGGGGATCCGGGGTCGAATCTGGACAGGTGGAAAAACTCAAGGAATTTTCATGGACGATTTGATTGAACCCAAGATTTGAATGAAAAAAAAGACCCTCTTAGTTCCCACAGGGTGGAGAGTCAAAAGCTAATAATAAAATATTCGTAAAATAATGAAATTAAATTTCATTATTTTACGAATATTTTCTTTGTCATACAATAACTTGTTAATTTTAATGTAGAAATAATCTATTTAAACTTATTAAAATAACGTAACCAAAATATGAAATAAGACAAATCATTTTTATGAATAAATCATAAAACAATGTCATCAACATCAAACTAATTCCCTGTTACAAATGTTGTGATGTTGAATTTCGTTGCAGAAACATTAATTTCACTATTACATGCATCAACATTCCTGCTGTGTTTTTGTATTACTATTCTCTGAAAAATTATGAAACCGGATAATATGAATATTTATTTCATGTTGTTAAAGTACAAATAATAAACTTCCCATTAATTTTGATTCCAGAAACAATATTAATAAAAACCATACGATTATTGTTCGTACGATGGCTTAATGTATTTAATAAACCAGTGTTTTTCAACCTTCTTGAATACGCGTCCCCTTTACAAGTTAAAAAATTCTGGCGACCCCCAGGGCCATATTAAAATTATGTCAGTGATTTTAAAAACTACGTATTTAATTTTTTCTTTCTGTTGAGACCTAAATATCGATCGAAAAACCAATTGTACTGTGCAAAGAAGTCGCAAGAGCCCTGCAAATAGTAACTTTGCCACGGGGGCGCTAGAGGCGAGTACGCCTCATGCTATTGTCTTTGCGCTTTGCTCCGCACGAGCATAAAATGGATAAGTTTCTCAAAAGATCGTACAAACACTTGTCTTTTTCTTTTATCCGCGACCCGCTGGGGGTCGCGACCCACAGGTTGAAAAACACTGTAATAAATAACATAAAAATACATAGTTGGATGCAAAAATAATTCGAATAAGTTTTCTTCTTTATCAAGATAGTAAATTGTACAAGTGGAGAGAGCAAACACCTGGAGCATCTCGACCTAAAAATTCCATTGTGTACCCCATATAGATTACTTTAGAAGTTTCTGTGGAGTATTTCTTTAAAGAAATCTAACAGAATTTAAAAAAAAATGGCAGACGTCACCTGAGCTCAAGCACGGATTCTAGAATAGATCTAGAAGTCGCTACCTAGGCTTTTTCTTGCTCAGCTGGAGCTTCGTTATTTCTCTAAAACGATGCTTACATTTTTGTTGTTTAAAATTGTATAGTAGTTTTTAAGTAATTATTAAAGTAATGAAACTTTATATAGGCCTAATAAATTAATTTTACGAATTAAAAAGTACCTTCTGTAAAATTCACTCTTGGACCCTCCTTTGCCTGAGCTTTACGTTACCAAATTGAAAGAAATTAATTTTTAACTCATTTAATTCTTTCACGAATAATATGTTTTGTTATTTTAATTATAATTTATTTATTTTTTTAGCTATCAAAGATCGGAAACGTAATTACAAACGGAAAGAAAGACGATAAGCAATCCTCCAGTGGAGCTGTTAAATTTGGATGGGTGAGAGGAGTATTTGTAAGTGTCTGAAAATATTAAAATTTAGTAATTACAATTAAAATAGCATTTCAGAAAGTTTATATTATTTAAAATTTTTCGGTTGAAATTAATTTATATAGAAAATTTATTACAGTTACGATGTATACTAAATATTTGGGGTGTGATGCTATTTTTGAGGATGGGTTGGATGACTGGACAAGCTGGAATAGGTAAATTGAAAGTAAAATTCTGTATAAGTAGGTACTGTACACTTTATCTAATATATTTTTATGATATAGGTTTATCCATCGCTATAGTAGGTCTAGCAACGGTGGTAACGCTCATAACCACCATGTCCATGTCTGCCATATGTACCAACGGAGAAGTGAAAGGAGGTTGGCACTTTTCTATTCCCTTCTGCTTTATTTAAAACTCTTAAATAACAAAATTTACACGTAATTTTAGGCGGGGCTTATTATTTAATATCAAGAAGTTTGGGACCCGAATTTGGAGGTGCAGTTGGTGTGATATTTTCTTTTGCAAACAGCATAGCCGTGGCCATGTATATTGTGGGTGCGGCAGAGACAATCGGCGATATTTTAAAGGCATGACTATCCATTTAATTTATCCAAAGTATAATTTTATCTAATTTGTCGATATTTATTTTAGATATACAATGTTGGTATTGTCTCGGTTCCTAGCGGTCTTAACGATATGAGAATTTCGGGAATTGGAATTCTATTTCTGATAACTGGTGTAACTGGTATTGGTATGGCGTTCGAGAATAAGGTTTGCATTCATTTTTATTCATTGTTATTAGCTAATATTTTATATAAAATTAATGAAACTATAGTTATAATTCATCATCATCATCATCTCTGTCCTGTTTTAACATTTCATGAATCATGTTAGTTAAAGCCTTTCATCGTTTTCTATTTTCCCCACTCTTCATCTTCCATTCTTTTCTATTTTATCCAAGTCATCTTTCCATCCATCCATCCAAGTCATTTAATCCAGTCTTTCCATCTCTTTCCTGGGTGCTTCCCTGTTCTACTTCTTTTTATTTTCTGTTCATATGGGCTTGGTAAAAATACCAAGATCTGTTTTATTTAATAATTTATTAACTGATCCTTCAGTAATATTCTTAATAAATTTATTGAAAAAACTTATTTTAAAAAATTATCAAGAATATGTTTATTAAAAAATAGCAACACGCGAATTTCACATTTTGCAACGTGTTATCCTTATGTTTTTACGTTTACATTCATTCATATGAAACATAATGCTTTTGCTGTGAGACTTCTCTCTTCATATTTATAATAATAATTAGCAAAATTATACTCATCTTCGTTTTTGTGAAACGTTCAAATCTCCTAAAAACTTAATAATCCCAAATTTATCCTTAAAAGTTTTCATTATTTCATTATTAAATATTGTATAGAGATATAACTCATCATGATAAATAGTCAAATTAAGTAAGACTTCGTCTATAAACCACGTGTCCTATTTTAACTAAAATTTTTAAACCCTCCTCATTCCCTTAGTGGACAAATGTCTCTAGTCCATATCCAAAAAACTAATATTGAAATTTCAAGATTCCCATCTTTTTTCAAATAATGTATTATGCCATCGATACAAAAATACAGTGGAGGAAACAGAATTTTTTCCCTCCTTTCTTTTGTAGGAGGAAGTACAGGATAGAGCAATAAATGTAGGAGGATAGAACAATAAATGTGTTTAATTAATGGACACATATTTTATAATAAAAACAATTAAGTTAATTTTTTAGATAAAATTGTTGTATACTAGGCATTTTCCACCCCTTGAAATACAATCATTTTCACTATTTAGATGTGGTGAAATTAATAAAATAATATTTTAATTTGTTTTTTTAATAAAGTTGTTATTGTTGTATATAATTTTGTTTATTGTGTATAAATGTAATTCAATTTCTTTAATACAATGTTTAATTTATAAATCATTTTGTTTAATATATAATGTCACTTGTATAACTTTTCCACCCTAGTAGACAAATGCCTACTTTGCCTATGCATAAAAAGACCTGGAGGAAGTAAAGTTTAGTAACGTAAGCTACACTTCAAATATACTTTTAATGCCCACGAGTTTCACCTTTTCTTTTTTTCCGACTGGTGGGCATTAAGAAAGCCTTTATCAAGTCCATTAAGAGATAACGGCCAAGTAGTTAAACCTACCGCTCTGTGGACGTTGAAAAACGAATCCGCGTGGCCTAAACTCCGAATTATTTTTCGGGGTGGTCTGTCCCGGATGTGTTGGGCCTCGTCCCTCACCACCCTGCTGCCCCCATTGTCATCCTGGCCTTACCTGTGATATATATGTTTAAGAAAAGGCTGCATTAATGCCCACAGAACGGAAAGAGTCCAAAAACAGGCCCGTTACTGATTCGGCCAAGCCCACAATGGAACGGCCGAGGTGATGAGGGACGAGGCTCGACACCCTGAACAATTCCTGGGTCTTCAGACCCACCAGGATTCTATTAAAAAGTAGGCTGATAGCTTAACAGCCTCGGCGGGCAATCCAGTGGTGTCTATCCAATCCTCTTCCTCCTCCTCCACCTCCCACTCCTTCCAACTCATAAATATTTTTATGACCCTATGTATAATTAATTTTATATTAAAACTTATTTAAAAATCGTATTATTCTCCTCCAGAGTCAGATTCTTTTAAATAAAAAAATGGGTGAAATTATTTTACTTTCAACACACTGATGTCTGCATTGATGTTTCATCGATAGTTTTTTAATGCCACGTGTTTCTGTATAGCCCACGTGCTGGTTAGAGGATAAAAAGTATTTCAAATAGCTTTTTCACTTAACACGACTTTCCCACCAGTGGCCGAATGCAAAAACCACGGAACACTGGTCGTGGGTTCGCGCCTCGCCAACTGGCCAGTCAACTATGTGGAGTTTTCCGGGTTTTCTTCACGTTAGTAACACTCAAATAGGGGCCAGTTTCCCATAAAAGACCTCCCGTGTGGCATTTCCCCTCGACAGATCGCCCACGTTTCGCCTTGCCGTATAAAACCATAAAACCATACTGCTCATGCACCGATGTTGCAAGATTCATCCTACCTTCTTATATGGTCCTTCGTGGTCTTTTCTCATATCCTGCCCCTAAAATGAACATGTAGTTTATGGATGAACCCTAAATAATAATAATAGACTTTTTGCATTAATTTGAAATATTTTTTCCATATTTTTAACAATTTATTCCATTTTCTTTCTAAATTCAGGCACAGATACTTTTATTAATTCTACTTCTGGTAGCGATGTTTGATTACCTTGTGGGTGCATGCTTTACACCAAGACCAGATCAAATTGTCAAGGGATTTACCGGATGGCAATGTAAAGCACATCACTTTTATTTTTATCATATCTTTTTTTTTATTTCTTTTTTTCAATTTTTAATAATGTCATCCGTAGGGAGAAACGGTCGAGATAATTTCGGACCCGACTTCAGAGGAGAGAACTTTTTTAGTGTATTTGCTGTATTTTTTCCTTCCGTGATTGGAATTTTAGCCGGAGCGAATATTTCTGGAGACTTAAAGGTAAAGAATAATTGCAAAGAAATTTTTATGGGTACAAATTAATGTAACGATATTGTTAAAATATTATTTTAGAATCCATCGAGTGCTCTTCCTAAGGGTACTTTCTTAGCTATAATAACAACGTCGTTCAGTTATGTAGTCATTATTCTTTGGCTCGGCTTTACTCTAATACGTGATGCTACTGGAAATATTGATGATCTACCTAATGAAGAATATCGAAATTGCAAACATCGCACTTGCTCACAAGGAATGATGAATTATAATCAGGTAAGGAGATTAAATTCGTCCATTTTTATAGTTTTCTACTGTTTACAATACAGTGAATAAACTATTAAATTTAGGCTATTATCATGCTGCATATAAAAAGAAATTAAATTAAAAACTGAAAAAGTATACATTAATTTTTTTTTAATTTTAAAACTCAATTTATAGTTAACAAATAGATTATTTCTTTGTAGGGAATTTACTATATGATTTTTAAAGAATTCTTTTGTTCCCTGAACACTGGGAGTTCGTTCGGTCGTAGTTTCGCGTCTCGCCAGGACGGGCTGGCCACGTGAAGTTTTCCGGGTTTTCTCCTCGTATGTAACGCTTAAATAGGTACCAGTTACCCTTAAAAGACCTCCCGGAAGGTATCCCCCTAGGCAGATCGCCCAAGTATTGCGTTGCCATAACTAAACAAAACAAACAAACAAAAATTCTTTCCACCCTGTGGGCAGTGGGAGGGCCATTTTTGCAATTTATAGTTCGGCCAGGTCCACAGTGGCACCACCAAGTTGTGAGGGACGAAAAACATATCCTGGACGGACCATCCCCGAAAAATTCCCGGGATTTTTTGACCCTTCCGGATTCCCCAAAGCAGTAGGCTGCCACCTTAAAGTCGCTCGGCCATCTATAACTTTCTTCGACCCCATTGCACGTGAAGTCACTAACAAATTGGATTAGGTTCTAAGCTATTTTAAATTGAATTTACATAATGAATATATGATTATATTTTAACATAGCTGTGTTGACACTCTAAACACCCTGATCGTTTGAATATTTAAAGTACAAAAACAGATCTTTATGGAATCTGAAAGTTGTTCAATATTAGATTTTGATGGAGAAAATCTGAAATAAAAATTATTTTAATGTGAGTTAAATTTCTTTTAAACTGTTTTTCCAATTAATTTGAGTTTGGAGATGCTCTGAAACAATTTCTATATTCCCCCCACATAAAAAGCCTACATAAATATATAACTTGTTTACGCTTGTGTTTCTAATTCACATTTTAAGCTTCTTGGTGTTTTTTAGAAGGGGAAAAAGTGGGTGGGCCATGATCTACTTATCCCCCGTTTCCGGAGCCCCTATGATGGTATACTATATATTATTGAAATTTTGGTTATAAATAGTATATTGGGAATAATTGGGCGAAGCAGCAGGAGTTGGGCCACCTTAAGCGGCCAAGGGGTGGAAAATTTCTAGTATAAAAATATAAATATTGTCTGTTGTTATTGTTTTATCATTTTCCTTCCTTTTTTGGCCCATTTTTATTAACCTACAAAATTTGACCTACTAGATAACTCTTGGAATTTGTTTATCATCAATTTCGCTTAGTTAGCTACATAAGTGCAATTTTAATAATAAATAAACAAATAAAATTACAGTCGACCCCCTAAACACTGTTGATTTATCCGTTTTATATGAATTCCATGTTATACGAGTCACTTAGATTTTACAAATACGTGTACCGGGCTGTGAACGGCTCATGTATTTGTAAAATCTAAGTGACTCGTACATCATGGAATTCATATAAAACGGAAAAATCAACAGTGTTATACGGGGGTCGACTCTTGTATATAACTGATTATCTAGTTCATATATTTTTCATTGAGATAAGAACGCATGTGCTCAACTTAGTGAGAAATGACTTGTTTCCTTGCCGGTTGTAATAATTAATGTCAATAAATGTAATAATTAGTACTCACATTAATTTTTTTATGTTATTTAACGCATCGATTGTTCTTGTAAACTTTAGATAGGAGATGAGACCGACTGGCTCTCATCGAAGACCATAAAATTATACGAATAAAATTTTAATTTTTGTAGCTTGCATCATGGTTTTATTTCAAAGATTAATTTTGGAATCGTTCTGTATCTAGGCCCACAAAATTTAGTTCTTTTTTTTATTTTTAATTGCTATATTCTTCGCATCGAAAGAGTAGACATTCTGAGCAGGAAGGGTCTGCGTCAGATCAGACGTGTGATTAACGTTAGAATTAGGAGTAAGTAATAAAATTTGTAAACAAAACATGAAACAATGAAATTACTTATGATTAAGATGATATAAAAACGTTTCAGAACTGTAAAAAATAAATTAGCTGAAAAAGATCAGATTCATGTCTCAACTCCCAATGGGGTAGCCACACGTCTCCGTCCATCCCTTTTATCTGACATAGACCCAGAGCCGCCCTACCATAGGGCAAACGGAGCAGCCGCTCCAGGCGCGAAGTCCTAGGGGCGCCTCAGTGGTAAAGAAAATTAAAGGGTATAAATTAGGGGTAACCAAGGGGGCGCCATAACCAAGGGCTCCGTCCTAAAACTTACCTCGGGCCGGCACTGCCCTTCAGCTCAGGCTGACTCACGTCTACTCTTTCTCTTCGCAAATTACAGCAACCGTTCTATCTAGGATTTTATATAAATTTTAAATGGAGAGATTTTAAAATGTAAACTATTCAATCATGTATTGATATTGTGAAGAGAGAATTGCTCATAATATTCAAACAAGAACAGTCTTTTTGAAATGTAAAATATTTTATTTTTTATGTCAAAATTCAAAAGTACAAAATCAAATGAAATCATGCATTAATATATAAATTACGTTTAAATGATTAATAAAAAAAAATTATCTTTTAAAACTGCAATTTATTTCCTTAGATAATAAGTTTTTGAAGTTTTGCGACGTTTCTTTTGATAAGAAACCAATTGAATCTGTTGTTGAAGGCATAAACGCACTGTATATAGCTTAATGCAATTTTCCTCGTTAGAAACGAATCTGTTTTATATTTAAGTTGGAGTAAATTGATTAAATAAGGCAACGCAACACAAGAACGATCAGCGAAGAGGATGCCTTCTGGGTGGACTTTCTATGGAACAATGGCTCCTCTAAGTGTCTTAAAGGCTGTTATACACGTTACGGAAATCCTCAAAGGATGTACTTAACAGACGAAAAAAAAAAATCGGATATAACTGGCTGGATCGAACATATAATTTACAAAACTTATTAAAATATTTCCCAACGTATAAAGAATTATTTTTATTTAAAGGTGGATAGATAGGAAAAAAAATCACGGTTAATCCTCAAATGATTTCCGTAACGTGTATAACAGCCTTAATTAGACACGTAAATATCCGAAAAATTCCACACGCCAGCCTATTAATCAGGCGCGAACCCACGACCAGAGAATTGTGACAATGCCGAAGGGCCCCCCCTCTATGCTTCGGCACCACAGGACCGAAGGGTCGACATTGCGTCGGCGAAGACTGCAATGACAAATTTATCAAGACTAACACCACTGTGTCTTCTGGGTAGACACAGAGACCGTTACGTTCGCATTTACGCGCGAGCAGTAGCGTCTGTGGGCGGTTTGACTCGGGATGGAGACCGCTTGAGGAAGTGCACCCAACATAATTCTAACAATAACAAAATTCATTTATTAAACTAGTTCTACAAAAGGGTATTTACCTTAAAGTTTCTTCTCGAGAACAGAGTTGGAGAGAGAGCTTACATAACATCGCGGGTCGTTATAAATACCTGAAGCACTATGTACGGATTTCCAGATGTCTGTGGAATCGTTGAGGAGCCTTGGGAATGTCTGTATTGCCTTGGATGGCGGTTAAAGTCTATCGAAAGTTGAGGTCCGTTTGTTCTTCGTAGGTGTTCCCGAAGAAACACTGGATATTCGGGAGGAGCGCGCGGCGACAAAATGATGATAAATCCTTTCGGCTGGCACATAGGGAATATTCTTGTGGACTCTCGACCTCTCTCACTGTTCCTTCAGGTCTCCTCTTTATTTCCAAGTCACGTTGTCGTTTTCCACCAATATTGAATTTTTTGTTGTAGTTCCCAGTGACACATTCTGAGTTCCCTGGGAAAGGAAACGACTCCGGGAAGAGAAATTCACTCATCCTCCGGTAATAAAATGGAAAAGTTTTTTTTCTCTGAGATTTAAATAAATTTCCTTTTCAAAACGAAAAATGAATTTTCTTTCAAAACATTCCCGAATAAAATCGTGGGTTTTTTCCCGAAGTCCGACCTCTCACAGAATGGTATCCTAATATTAAATGCCCGTAAAAAATTATAACACTACTTCATCTGATGATATACTGTTTAGTTTTTCATACGTATCGTATTTTAACCGATAGTTTTTTCTGACTAGGAATAAATTTCATCATAATAAAAACAAAATAAAATTTAAGTTTCTATATTAACAAATCGATGTTTCGCAAGCGCTAAAGGTCTCTGAACATTGTTAGGAGGGACAGCCAACTAGGGCTGACGAGAGGGGAAACGATGAAAAATTTTGCCGTATCATCCCCTCTCTAGTCTCCCACGACCGGGATTCACAGGGGCCCACACATCATCCTATAATTTGTTTTTTATGCGCTAATTAACCGTAGAAGGACGGTGCTGAAAATTAGAATCTGAAGCGGGTAATGAATTGACCCAACCTCATAACTAAAAATACAGAGAAAATTGGGATTTTACTTGGGATCCATGTAAGTTTTCCCCCGGGTCTCGAAGCTCCTGCAAATAACTTTAAAAGTTAAAAAATAAAACACGGAATAGATGTGATGTAATTTTTATGCTTTTAACTCGTGTAATAAAATATAAAAAATAATTAAAACACAGCAAAACATTGCTGAATAAAGTCAGCAAAATCATAGAAATTAAATTGTTATTTTTTAAAATAAATGTAGGAGTGTACCCTAAAAATCTGCACAAATTTCAATAGCGTTGTCCGGTAATTTCGTTCCATTTAAAAAATGTAAGATTAAATGAATTCGGTCGTAGAAACGTAATTAGCAGATTTTATACTGAAAATCGCAAAAATGGAAATCTTATACAGTCAAACATTTCTCTGCAATGAGATTTCATGGCGTACAGTGTATAGCTTCATTTCAAGGGGAATTCGCTGGAGGTGGATAAAAGTGGAAGAAAACGACCGAAAGATAGATTAATTTCTTTCTTTCGAGGAAGAAGCAGAGCCGGCCCTACCATAGGGCGAAAAGAGCAGCCGCTCCAGGCGCTAAGTCCTAGGGGGCGCCTCAGTGGTAAAGAAAATTAAAGGGCATAAATTTGGGGGCAACCAAGGGCAGTGGCGTAGTGAGGGGGTGCATCAAGCACCGGGCGCCACTCACAGAGGGGTGCCCAAATGGTCTCCAAGACAAACTATATGTTTCTGGAGGGGGCGCCAATAAAGTGTCGTGCCCCCAGCGCCAGTTATGTTCGCTACGCTACTGACCAAGGGGGCGCCATAATAGGATCTCGCTCCATCTTAAAACTTGCCTCGGGCCGGCACTGGGAAGAAGCCTTGGAAAAAGTTGGATAAACGCTTAGAAAATTAAATTTTAAGAAAAGAACAATTAGATCAAATAGAGAGTTGTCAAAAAATTTTCAACCAACCATTTTTACAGAAAGAAACAAAGTTGTATTTGAAGTTGATGTTGAAAGATAATAAAGGACATTAGGAAGATAGTTGATGAGTACAATTCTGAAGCTACTATTAAATTGCTAAAGAAGTTGACAACAATCATAAGAAGCTGGTGGAAATTATTCGCAGAGAGTTTGAAGTTCCTACATACGGAAACTTGCTATATGGTATTGTGGAAAAAACTGTACTGAGAATGTGATGATCAGAAACTAAGGTAGTATGGCTTACTCAGTCTTTAGAGGTTTTAAATAGAAAATGGGGTAACTCACAACAATAAAATAATTGCTAGATGCCTCGATACAGCAACTAAATTCTAAATCATAATTAATTCCATAACTTGCTGACTGAGATCATAGTTCACTTTGTTAACACATCTATGATATTCAGTCTGTCATGATCTCTCTTGAAATGCTAAAAAAAAAACTTTTCAAGAAGTGTTTTTGTCAATTTTTTTATTTAAAATTTTAAACAATAAAAATAAGAAAATCCATTTTGTACTTAAGTGTAATTTTCATGAGTATTAAATCATTTTAATTGCTTTGAGCCTATAATTAATGTTAAATGTATCTATTGATTAAATTTATCCCAAAATTCATTCAATTGCAGGTGATGGAAATGTCAGCTGCTTATGGGCCACTGATTTATATTGGAACATTTTCAGCAACTTTATCATCAGCATTGGCTGCTATGATTAGTGCTCCAAGATTATTTCAAGTAAACATTCTTATAAACTGACTTACTCAATTACTTTTCTATTGACATACTATTTTCTCATATAGGCTTTATGCAAAGATGACATCTTTCCCTATTTGAAATTATTCAGTAAAGGCTATGGTCCTAATAATGATCCCAGAAGGGCATCTGCTCTTGCTTTTGTGATAGCTGCAGTCTTCATTTCTATAGGTGAATATTGTTCATAATTTGAGTATTAAGCTTAAAATATTTTACATCTATTTTTTGTTTATTTAGGAGAATTGAACACCATAGCTCCTTATATCTCAAATTTTTATATGGCAACCTACTGTCTCATCAACTTTGCTTGTTTCCATGCATCACTTGTAAAGTCTCCAGGTAAACTTTGATCTCTTCTTTATCTAATGTTAAGAGTTACCTTTTCTTGCAAAACACTTCACAATATGGCTCATGATAAACATTTCTTGAAGAGATGTTGAATGTAAACTACTGTATATTAAACATTTGAATATATAATNCTTTGTTTTGTTTGATATTAATTATATTAAGCAAAATATATTAATATATCAATTAATAATGATTTATTAATTTATAATGATTAATATAAAATATTTACCAGATATAAATATATTATATTTATATTTGGTAACAAAGAACAGTGAACTATATTTTACATTAAAAAGAAAATTATTTACAAGGTACTGTATGTTCAAAAAGTTCAGGAAACGTTCAAAAAAAATTTACAATATAAAGAAGTTTATTTAATATTTTTCATATTAATCACCCTGAACTTTAATACATACTATTTAGAAAAACCAACTACTACTAAGGATTACAAGATTCTCTGATTTGTCTCGTATGGGTTCTGTTGATTGAAACCATTTTCCTTTCAAAGGATTTTTTTTAAATTTAATTTTTGGGTAAAGAAAAGAGTCAAATTAGAAGTTGGATGAAGATTAGGAGTTAAATAGGATGGATGTTGAAGAATAGCCGTTTCATCTTTGAAAGGAAAATGGATTTGAGTCAAAAGAACTCATACAAGATAGATAAAAAAAATTTTGCAATCTGTGAAAGAAGCTGATTTTTCTAAATAATATCCAAATTGGAGAAAGTGTATTGAAGCTCAGGATTATTTTGAAAAATATTAAAGCAATATATTCTAACACTTCTTAAACTCATTCCTGGAACTTTTTGACCATGTACAATTTCTTTCTCATGTCTTCAGTCAAAGAATTTAAATAATAATATTATTATAATTTAAATTCTTTGACATACAGTATCTTGTAAATAATAATATTATTATTATTATTAAAATGCATCATCCAAATTCTAACCTTACAATTACATGATCTTTATTAAAGATATCAATGTCAAGGAAAGCTAACAGTTTGACACAATTTTATAAGTATAAACAACTTAAAAAATGACTATTATTTTTTATTTTGGAATACTACTTTGCAATGCATATGATAAACAAATTTTTAATTACTGTAATTCTAAATGAAGGGCTAAGTAACAGTAATTGAAATATAAACCTATATTGAATCTATATCTACCTCAGCCACCTGGCTGTCACTAACTTAATATGTCAACCTACTGCTCTGGGAACTTGAAATACTTTGCTCACCTGGATTTGATCCCAACAGACAGGATAAAGTAACATCCCAGGACAGACCAGGAATATTTCATGGATGGTCTGTCCTGGATATGTCAGTTCCAGCTGGCACTTGTCCAAACTCATAATAGGTAAAGAAAAAAAGGTTGTCTTAATATCCATGGATGGGGTGATGAGTCAAAAAAATGTGTGTTTGTGTGTGTATATATATAACTGTTTAAGAAATAAAACTGCAAACTAATATAACTGACACAGTACTTTATCTCTAATTTTTATAATAATAATATAATTATATATTTTATTTAAATTTATTGTAGGCCATCCATTTTAGTTTTAACTGGGAATGCTTATAGTAGGCCTAGTTTGGTTGATTTTGCAAATGATTTATCAAAGCATGTTGGCTTGTTGATTTGTGGCCATGTTATACAGGTAAACATATAAATTAAATCTCATAAATCTGTTTCATATAATTTATTTTTTGCTTTATTTTGTAGGATCATATATCTCATTCAGTTAGGACTTTAATATCTGATTTTAATTACAAATGGCTAAATGAAAGGAAAGTGAAAGCATTCTATTGTCATGTAGAAGATGAACATATATCCAAAGGCATTTTTTCATTAATTCAGGTAAATTTTTCTTTCAAATCAAATGTAATATTAAATTTTCCCTCTTTAAAAATAACATTTCATTCCTTTTTTAAGATTTCCGGTTTAGGTAAATTACGCCCTAACACAATATTAATGGGTTTTAAGTCTGATTGGCAAAGTGCGGATCCAAAAGAAATTCAAGATTATTTGCAAATTATCCAGTCTGTACTTCTTTCATGTTTTGTTACATTATAATTTAAATTTATATATGTTCGCTACGCTACTGACCAAGGGGGCGCCATAATAGGATCTCGCTCCATCCTAAAACTTGCCTCGGGCCGGCACTGGGAAGAAGCCTTGGAAAAAGTTGGATAAACGCTTAGAAAATTAAATTTTAAGAAAAGAACAATTAGATCAAATAGAGANTTAAATATTATAGAAAATTAATTTATATATTGATATATAATTTTACTTAAATTCCATATTAATGATAAATGACAAATACCATTTGAAATTAATTTTTTTTTTTAAATTATTTTTGGTTGTACATACACAAAATATAAATAATTTTTATAAGAAAATACAATGTCTGAACTGTTAAAAACACAGATCTGCAAACCAGTATACATTTTATTACAGTTTGAGTTTGTAATTAAGGATGATAAAAATGATTGACTGTTATTTGATTATAAAAAAGTCAAATTCATTAAATATTTATAAAGTCAAATTCATTAAATATCAAAATATTTAACAAATGAAAGCTATTAATATACCAAATGGGAAAAAATAAAAATTTGTTGCCATCATCAATGTCTGTCAAATTCAAGGAATGATTCTCTTTATGCTTATTCTAAAAAGAAATATATGCATTAAGAGCAGCAGATCTTAATTATCAGTTTTAACAGTAAATGGAATATAAACATTAGCAGCTGAATATGAATCTTGTGTTGATATCAATTTTATATTGGCATTTAATATTTATACTTAATTTTACTCAGTGTAATTGATACACTGAGTAACATGTGAAAATTTATTTAAAAATTTTTGTTTTGTTTGATATTAATTATATTAAGCAAAATATATTAATATATCAATTAATAATGATTTATTAATTTATAATGATTAATATAAAATATTTACCAGATATAAATATATTATATTTATATTTGGTAACAAAGAACAGTGAACTATATTTTACATTAAAAAGAAAATTATTTACAAGGTACTGTATGTTCAAAAAGTTCAGGAAACGTTCAAAAAAAATTTACAATATAAAGAAGTTTATTTAATATTTTTCATATTAATCACCCTGAACTTTAATACATACTATTTAGAAAAACCAACTACTACTAAGGATTACAAGATTCTCTGATTTGTCTCGTATGGGTTCTGTTGATTGAAACCATTTTCCTTTCAAAGGATTTTTTTTAAATTTAATTTTTGGGTAAAGAAAAGAGTCAAATTAGAAGTTGGATGAAGATTAGGAGTTAAATAGGATGGATGTTGAAGAATAGCCGTTTCATCTTTGAAAGGAAAATGGATTTGAGTCAAAAGAACTCATACAAGATAGATAAAAAAAATTTTGCAATCTGTGAAAGAAGCTGATTTTTCTAAATAATATCCAAATTGGAGAAAGTGTATTGAAGCTCAGGATTATTTTGAAAAATATTAAAGCAATATATTCTAACACTTCTTAAACTCATTCCTGGAACTTTTTGACCATGTACAATTTCTTTCTCATGTCTTCAGTCAAAGAATTTAAATAATAATATTATTATAATTTAAATTCTTTGACATACAGTATCTTGTAAATAATAATATTATTATTATTATTAAAATGCATCATCCAAATTCTAACCTTACAATTACATGATCTTTATTAAAGATATCAATGTCAAGGAAAGCTAACAGTTTGACACAATTTTATAAGTATAAACAACTTAAAAAATGACTATTATTTTTTATTTTGGAATACTACTTTGCAATGCATATGATAAACAAATTTTTAATTACTGTAATTCTAAATGAAGGGCTAAGTAACAGTAATTGAAATATAAACCTATATTGAATCTATATCTACCTCAGCCACCTGGCTGTCACTAACTTAATATGTCAACCTACTGCTCTGGGAACTTGAAATACTTTGCTCACCTGGATTTGATCCCAACAGACAGGATAAAGTAACATCCCAGGACAGACCAGGAATATTTCATGGATGGTCTGTCCTGGGTATGTCAGTTCCAGCTGGCACTTGTCCAAACTCATAATAGGTAAAGAAAAAAAGGTTGTCTTAATATCCATGGATGGGGTGATGAGTCAAAAAAATGTGTGTTTGTGTGTGTATATATATAACTGTTTAAGAAATAAAACTGCAAACTAATATAACTGACACAGTACTTTATCTCTAATTTTTATAATAATGGAAATTATTTAATATAAATTAATATTTATTTTAAGTAACTAAAGTATAAATATATTTTTTATATTACTGTAATATGTACCATATAATTTTTAATATAAATTTTATATTGATAAATACAAAGAAACAATTTCTTAAACATTTTATTGGGAGTATTAATATACTGTGTTTGAATTTAATTAAAATTTATCACCAGTGAGATATTTTTTTCTTTTATATTTGTCACAAACACAAAGGCTTCACAAAGCCTTTTTATGTATAGCATAAGGATATGCCAATATAATAATCTTTAATTAAATATCTTAAACAAAAAGTAATGATTGTCTAAGTTATTTTTAAATCATATGTAATTATTAACAATTAAAGATTTTGGTTTAAAATAAGAATATTTTTTCAAAATCAGGTATTTCCAATCCTGAAATGGTTGCTAAAGATGATCCTGATAATATCTCAACTTCTGCTTCTATAAAAATAACCATTTCAAATGAAGAAGGATCAGAAATTAACTTAGAAGAACCAAAACAAAACATTGAAATACCTGCTGAAAAAATGAATTTTTCTGAAATTCCAAAAGAAATTATGAACAAAATCAATCAATTTCGAAAAAAGCAGGCTAAAGGAACTATTGATGTTTGGTGGCTGTACGATGATGGAGGTAAGAGTTTGATTATATATTAATTTAGTTTAACACACTAAATACTTTAATCAATCATATAAAAAAATTTTTCCTGGAGATTCAGATCCAAATCCAGCCCAAATGCAAATAATCTTTTCATTTATCAAGTTAAAATCCATATTTTTTTGTCATTTATTTACATTGAATATTTTCCTACATTCTGTTTCATGCTTTTGCATTTTAACTTGTTCTTCTATCAAACAAAAAAAATAACAAATCTTAGTATTTAGTCAATTGTGAAGCTACTTTTTGATATCTTTGTGTCTGTTGAGACACTTATCCTAGAATAATTCATCAGGAAACTGAAGATTTGGCAATAGAAAGATGCATCTTCAGATGTAACCATTTGATTTTCTTTTGAACATATTTATTAGATTGAATGCACAAACCTAAAAAGAAAAAAAAAATACTTAAGAACTTAAGGGAATACATGGTATAGAAAAATTTCCAATGCCAAATGTTTCAAGAAATTTGATGTTGTGAGCATTGTGTAGTCAGACAGTATAATGCAATGGCAATAATTTGATTTCCATTCAGCAAGAAATTCATGATGAGATTTTCACATTAAAATAAGAATACAAAAAATTTAAACCAATTAGATTTAAGTTGTGATACATTTGTCAGAATCTGTTATAAATATAAAATTTTTAATAAAATTATGATAACTTTTCTTTCAGTTCATATTGTAATTTTGCATAAACTTAACTTTACTAGAGCTCGTAGATAAACATATTATTTTTCCAAAGCATATCATAATGAGGAAAATTTGGACTATGTTAATATTTTATTTCTTTGTACATTAGTATATAAGATTACATTAATTTTGGCATCTTGTTCTTCTTACATCAGCAAAAACCTAAAAATGTTTTCATTTTTTATACAAAGTTATTCCATTAGTCACTTTAATTCATTCCATAAATTGAGATTATTATAGTAAATCAAGATTATTTTCTTATTTAATAGCTTCAAACTCTTCAATATTGGTTATATATATAACCAATATATAACCAAGGAAACTATATATATATATATATAATTTCCTTTCTTATAAAATGCATTTAAAAATTTTTTAAATGTGCAAAATAGACTTGAAAAATATTTTTGAAATTGATAGTTGAATTTGCAATTTTTATTTTCATTGAGTCCTAAGGATAAAAGTCTGTTTTCTCTAATAGAAAATTTAAACACTAATGAGTTTAGAATAATAATAAATTTAAAGAAAAATCTTTTAATGATATAGGCATTTCTACCAATACAGGTATCTATGATATTCATGATAGAAAATTTACTTAACTTGAAGAGAGGAGTTTTATAGCAAAAGTCTAGTCTATTAAGTTTCAATCTGTAATGAATTAACTTCAGAATCAAATTACAACTTTTTAATAAATAAAATCTAAATTTTTGCACAAATTAAGCTATAACTATTTGTCAATTTATAAACAAACATTAAAATGCATATTTAACTGTTTCTTAAGACTTTTGGATATAATACAATTCAAAATCTGATAATTTGAATTCCCTTCATGACATTCAATGCAATTTTCTAGGCCAATTCAAAAACAATCTATAAATATTATTAAAAATATGGTAATAACGATTTCAGGAAAACACTAAACATGCTAACAATTTTTTTGTTTAAATTTTTTTGTTTGATCTTGTGGTATAAAAGAAATTGGGTGCTGTCTAGCAATCATGGCTGTTGGTGCAAACTTTTGGGACTCTCACACCTGATGATCTGGTAAAATGTATAGCTAAAGCAATGATGTCTTTGGACTTAATTTATGATCTTAATCCTGTACCATGTAAAACTCGTACAACAAATAAATGGTATGATAATGAAGCTACACCATAAGGAAAAATTTGTGGAAGTTGTTTAAGAAGGCAATAAAGACATACAAATGAATATTATACTTTATATTTTGTCACTCAATCCTACTAATCCTTAAAATACCAACACTAAGCAAGCACACACAAACAATAACAAAAGAACTTTATTAAAATAAGATCAGAGCTATCGTCTGCATCCTCAGGCTACACACAGACAACTTAACGAACTTTTGCACCTTTTTTCTTTTTTATATCCATTGCCAGGCAAAAACTTGTTAGAAGTGTTGCCAGACTGTGTTTACGATCTCTGGCACTGGCAGCCACAATATAAAAACTATTTAAAAGACTACAAACGTTTATGTCAAAAGAAAAAACAATCCTATTTTTCAAACTTAAATAGAAGACAAGTAACAACTCTAAAATAGTTTGGCAAACAATCAACTGTTTTAGATGTAAAAAATTAATAAATTACAGTTCAAGAATTCCTTTGGAAAGATAGCTAAATTTTTTACTGCTAAATTCTCTAAAGATCATTTTGTATTTATTAACAAGGATCAATTGTCAATGGACATATATAAAGTGCTTTGAATAAGGGAAGAATGTTTCTCAGAATTTACATTGGAAGAGATAAAAAGAGCAATTGTTTTAAATATGGCACCTCACCTGGATCTGATTTTATTCAAACAGAATATTTAAAATGTTTCTCAGAACAATTCTTACTTACAGTATTGGAAGTTTTTAACTGTGTTAAAAAAAATTGTAGTTTTTTCAGAAGCTTGGATTGAATCTCTAATCATTCCAATATATAAGAAAGGTGATGTAGACGATCTAAAAAACTATCATCCTATTTCTTTGGTTCTGGTAATTGGGAAACTATTTACATCCTTATTAAATAAAAACTAGAAGAATGGATACTTAAATATGATATTTTGTGTCAGGAGCAAGCAGGTTCTCAACCTGGCCAATCTTTTCAATATCAAATATTTATATTAAATGCACTGGTACAGTTAAAATTGCAAAAAAGAGAGAAAAGCTTTATGCTGTTTTTGTGTTTTTTATGATTGACAGTATCAAAGACAGATAGAAAATTTTATGGACTCTACTAGAAAGAATGGGTTTAAATAAACAGTTTCTTGGTCTTGTGATTTGATTGACATATATTCTAAAGCCACTACAAAAGTGAAAATATCTGAAACAACTGATTCATTTGGTGTCAACATAGGAGTTTTGCAGGGTGAGATGTTGAGCCCACTGCTTTTTAATTTGTATGTCAATGGTCTGATAGTCCGACTTACTAAATCTGGTTTACCTGGAATTTCTCTCTATGATCAAGTTGAGATACATGCACTAATATATACCAATGACACTGTAATTTTGGCTGACTCTGCACTAATGCTACTAAAGAAAATTGTAATCCTAGAGGAATTTTGCCGTAACTATGGGTTAACTATAAATGTTTCAAAAACAAAGATAATGGTATTCAAGAAGAGGGGTCGAATGTCACCTAGGAGGATGGTCTACGGTCTTAAGCTTCTTGTGAACACACGTGATCTGCTCTGTTCCCTTGTTTTCTGGAAATATTACGTATCTTTTTTTCAAACTTCCTCCTTTTTGATTGGTCCTCCGTTCCTTCTCCCTTACCTGATTGGTCATTCTTGTCTCCAGGCAAAACCAAAACAGGTCGCGGGAAAGATCTGAGAGGTGTCGACGGAGCTCTGGAGTCAGCACTCATATTTTACTCCGTTATTGTCTTCCTCAGATGTTTTGAACTTAACCGCTTTGCCAGATGTTTTACCAGCTGTTCCCCCCAATAGTTTAGGGCCTACATGACTCAACAGATGTCTTTTGGTCATTAGTTCTCCTGTTTTATCTCAATTGTTTACCTCTCGACTCTTGTATACGAGCACCCTGACAAAGCCCCTCTCACTTGGTCAACATTCCCTCTGTCATTTATCGCATTATGTTTGTTTTAGAATGAGTGTTTTCCTTTCTGTCAAGTCCACCACACCGACACATGCTCTTGATCTGATTTTTCCTCCAAAATTTCCCAACTTCGAAATTTTATAATTGATCACAATTTTTGCTTGATTTTTGGGAACCTCAATTTTGGTGTTTGGAGTTTCTAGAATATCAATAATTACAATAAAAGTAATAATTTTATTTTGGATATGTTTCTTAAAATTAGATGATAAAAGTTACGTTAAACTAGTGTATTATGTTCAACAACAAGGATGGCATATACAATTGGGTGTCAGCATTGATAGATCTGTTGGATCATCTTGTTTTTCCTTTCTATGGCTATCTCATAATACTCATGTAATGTTCATTGCGAAACGTACATAGATTGACGAATGAAAGACGTAACAATAACTAAAAGTGACAGTATGGTCAAACAAAGTATTTTATTTTGTGTATATGAACAGGCTCTTTTGGATTCCAACTCTGCAGTAAATTCTTATGACAAGGCATTAAACAATAATCCAATGTACAATGACAAATATACCGTTTGCAACAAATATACAGTGACCGAAAACTCTAATTAATACTTACGTGCTAACTTAAAACTAAAAGAAAAAGAAATGGTAGAAAAAAGAAGATAGCATAGAACAAGGAGTGAAATACCCAGGGTTTTGCTGGACTTCGTGATTTTGGGGTGGGATACCACATTGAACTTCTTCTGAAAAGTCTATTGTCATCGTCTTTGCTGAGTTCTTTCTGGCACCTTGTTACTATACCTCTTCTTTTTATCATAATCATGATAAAATTCCAGTTCTCAAACTCTCTCAAATTCTCCAGTCGTTCTCATTCGCGATCTGGAGCACCACACTTGATGTGTATCCACCACGAGATCTGGACCCAAGAATGTCCTTTCTCCTCTTTTCCCAGCCTCAGGGCCTCGTTCATCTCTTTGTTCTCAGTGATTCCCAGCATTGGTAATCCCACCCAAGGGAAAAGAGTTATAAAGGAAAGTTCTGTTGGAATCAATGATCGCGATGTTTTGTAATGTTCTGATGTAATAAAAGGTTGGTGACGCTCTTGACCCCTCGGGCAAGGTGACCTCGTTTCACTCTCCCCTTTCTAGCGTTGACCTTCTGGGAGTAACGACTGCGTGTAATCTTTGTGCACTCTTTGTTCTTTTGTTACACAACTGGTTACGTTAATCCAACTGCCTTTTTACTAATCTCTCCGAAAAGCAACATCTAGTCTAACAGGTTATGGGCCCAGTTACAGCAACAACTAATTAAGTGTAAGGAGAACACAAAAGAAAGAAAAAAGGTAAATTCAAGAAACTTACGTAAGAAGAATATTCAGTGAGAACACAAAAGATTTCACAATGGCGGATAAAAGTTACGTTGCCATCACTAAATTGAACAACAACAACTATCACATTTGGAAATATAAGATGGAATTGCTGTTGATAAAAGAAGAGTTATGGGACGTAATACAAAAGGAAATACTCTCAGATCCTGACTCATCTTGGTTAACAAAGGACGGAAAGGTGTGTGCACCATGATAGGCCTCCTGATGGAAGACAATCAACTGCCATTAGTAAGAAAGGAAACTACAGCTAAAGAAACTACAACTTGGGAAGCCATAAGAAAACATCATGTTAAGTCTACACTATCAAATAAAGTTTACCTATTGAAGAAAATTTGCAATTTAAATTAATTAATTAAAAGAAGAATATGAAACAAAAGCAAGGGAACAAGAAATGGAAGAAACTGGCATACATTTAAGGAGATCGGAAAGAACTACTAAGGGAGTACAGTACCTCCTATAAGGTTAATTGAAACAATAAATTTATCAGTGACTGATGATGGAGTAGAACTGAGAGAATATAGCGAGGCAATCACAGGCAAACATTCCAAAGAATGGAGCGAAGCCATGGATAAGGAAATAGCAGCCATGAAAAATAACAGCACATAGAAAATTACGAAATTACCTCCAGGTAAAACTGCAGTAGGAAGCAGATGAGTATACAAAATTAAATTAAGAGAGACGAAAACAATAAAGTTAATCGTTTTAAGGATCGTTTAGTCGCTTAAGGGTACACGCAAAAGTATGGCTTTGACTACAATGACATATATGCCCCATGATCAAAACTGCCACCCTTCAAACACTCCTAACTATAGCCGGAATTAAGAATATGAAAGTTAAGCATTATGACATCGAAACGGCTTACTTAAACGGAGACTTATCACACGAGGTATACATGAAACTGAGAGGACCCAAACGGGGTCTGAAAGGAGGCCCTTAACGACTTTTTGAATGAGTCAAGTTTCGTAGCGCCAAAGAGCAAACTTAAAGATCGGATTTAAACAATGAACCATCTGTCTTGTTAAAAGATTTTAAACAATAGATAGAGTAAAGTCAAAGAAAATGAGGTTGGAGAGGAGTCGTGATCCGACGCGACATTGACCCCTCCCTCGCCGTTAGTTAGGTTTCGAATTGTCACCATGTGACGAGGAGAGACCAATGGAGAGGTGACGGAGGTGGAAAAATCGATAAAAACGCGCTTTCGGGAATTTTACGGGGTCTTGGGTTTTGGGGCGTAGTGCTACCCTGCTGGGATTTGGTGCTCACGACAGAGACACAACAAAGGCTCTTTTGACGCCCTAGGAACTGGTTTTGCCAACCCGTCTCGTCCAGAATCACCGAGGTCATGTCCAGAATCGTTGAAGATTGACTCGTCTCCACTGAGGACATCTCTACAAGTGCTGGTGCATGCCCCGGAGCCATCGTTCTCTGTGTCCAGCATGCCAAAAATACCCAAGGACTGATTGAACAGTCGAACTTTTCCGTTTTTATTGGAACTGTTATAATAAGCCATCATTGGATAGGCTTTCGTCTGACATATTGAATTATTGTAAGAACAATTTATGTATTTTATTAAACGGTTTTATATGGTAAACCTGTCTCGGTGAGTCATTCTGCGCCCACAAGACAGAGTGAACCGCTCGGCTGTCGAAATCTCCTTACCCCAATTGGCTAACCTCACAAAACAACCTGAAGGATACGAAGAAGGATCGCCAGACATGGTTTGCAAATTATTGAAAAATATATATGGCTTGAAACAAGGAGCGAATGAATTGAATAAAAAATTCAATGAAACATTACTATCTAAAGGATTTAAAAGAAGTGTAGCCGTTCCCTGTCTTTATACCAGAGGCCATAAAAGATGCTTGTATTTAGCAATTCATGTAGATGACATAATAGCAATGACCACAGACGAGCATACGTTAACCAAATTTGAGACCGAAATGAAAGAAATGTTTAAAATCAAGAATTTAGGTGACTTAAAATATTATCTGGGAATACAATTTGAAAGAGATGAAAACGGAATATTTTCACTCCACCAAGAAAGATATATCGAAAATAAATTGTGAGAATTTAACTTATCTGATTCGAGACCATCTAATATTCCTATGGATACAGGATACTTAAGAAAAAATTAAATGCCCGATATGTTCAAAAACAACAATGTATACGGAATTGCTATTGGATTTTTATTATATCTAGTGACTAACTCGCATCCAGATATTGCGATAAGTACATCGATATTAGCGAGAAAAGTAACAAAACTTTCGGAAAGTGATTGGGAGGAAGTAAAAAGAATCTTTCGTTAACTGAATTCGACAAAAAAGAAGAAACTTAAATTAGGAAATATTGATGAAGAATTAGAACTTAAATGTTATGTAAACACCGACTGGGGATGCGATCATATAGACCACAAATCGAACACAGGATATTTGCTCTTGTTAAAAGGAAGTCCTATTCATTGGGTTAGTAAAAACCAACAGTGTGTAGCACTTTTGTCCACCGAAGCAGAGTATGTAGCCTTGGCAGAAGCTACCCAAGAAACTGTATGGATGAAATGACTTCTAAAAGAAATAAATCTACCGATTACAGCATCTATCAAAATATTTGAGGACAATCAAAGTTGTATTCGACTTTTAGAATTAGGAAAAGCACAACAGCGCACGAAACATATTGACACAAAATACCATTTTGTACATGATTTAAAGAATTCGGGAGAAATTACTGTAATCTATTATCCGAGTGAACGGATGACGGCCGATTTGTTAACTAATTAACAAAGCCGCTAGACGCGAATAAGATTAAGAAATTTACTCACGATATCGGATTGTATTAACGATCAATTGTTGACGGGGTGTGTTGGAATCAACGATTGCGATGTTTTGTAATGTTCTGACGTAATAAAAGGTTGGTGGCGCTCTTGACCCCTCGGGCAAGGTGACCTCGTTTCACTCTCCCCTTTCTATTGCTGACCTTCCGGGAGTAAAGACTGTGTGTAATCTTTGTGCACTCTTTGTTCTTTTGTTACACAACTGGTTACGTTAATCCAACTGCCTTTTTACTAATCTCTCTGAAAAGCAACATCTAGTCTAACAAGTTCTAGAAGGAAAAAGAAACAAACAACAAAGTAAACTAAAACTAACTTAAATTAATATTTACAATATGGTGTACAGCCACACTCATTTGATCAAATGTTATAAAACTCTGCCGTGTACAAAGTATACAAGAAGATTGGTCTCTGTTAGGGCAGAATAAGCATTTTCAATTATATTGCAGTGTTAAAACAACATTCATGGGTGAAGATTATTTGCTTATTATGTTAAACGATTAATCCTTCATTTGAGATGCAGTCAAAATTATATCTTAACCTATAGCAGACTAACAATAGATCCTGAAAAAATATGTAGTAACTGTACTATGCAAGTATATGAAACTTGGAAACATGTATTTCTTCATTGTGTAAAACTTAAAGATAGTAGGAACAAGTTTTTAATAAGGTTTAAGGCTTGGAAAGATATTATTAATATATTGTGCTTTACAAAATCCGATTATTACTTGATATTTTACTTTGTGTTCTTTTATACTAAATTATTAACATGTTAAATGCTATATTATTTTTGATTTTGTAACAAATTACCCCTTGTAATGAACTAAGGTTCATACAATAAAGAATTGATTGATATAAAAGAAATTTTCTATTTTACATGAGATTTGTCATTTTTACTATTCTCTGTGAATAATTTGAATAACTGTATTATAATACATTTTACTGAACTGCAGTTGATCCAAAATAATAAAACTTCTTAAGTTTAAAATCTTGAATTTTGTACTTAAAATATTTTGATTTAAACTTTATGTAATTGAGACTAATTTTTGTAATTAAGGTTTGACAATTCTGATGCCTTATTTATTAACAACACGATCTCAATGGAGTGATTGCACCTTAAGAGTTTTTACAGTAACGCATTGTGATATGAACTTAGACCAAGAACAAGTAAAGTAAGTTATATCTGATTTTAAATTTCTACATTAATTACATCTAAGTATAATTTAAGGGTTATTTTTTAACTGTTATTACTTCTCATTTTTATCAGCAATATTTTTTTATATCAAAGTTTGAAATTTTTTTTCACAAAACAGCTTTTGATTCCTTAAATAGAATTAGTGTTTATTATGAAATACACAATAATTATTAACTTGATTAAATACTTAACCAGCAAAAGTTTATTAAGAACAAGTACTTTCAGTCTAATTTAGACCATCTTTGGATTCTCTATCTTTCAAATAAAGAATTCATTGCATCATGGAATGGATATTTGAAAGTGTGTTCCATTGGGTCAGGAACAAAATTTAAAATGCATTAAATAATTTGAACATATTTTAAATAATATAAATTAAAAAATAAAAGTATAGTTCTGAAGTTCTATTGCCTGTACAATAGCCTCCATGCATTAGAGTAGGGATGGGCAGCCCACAGTAATATTTTTTGTGGCCCGCATTGCATAAATATGAATAAATATATCAATTTTCCAGCTTAAGGAAGTATGCAACAAAATTCAAACATTATTTTCTACAACTTATGTATGTGAATAGTTTTTCCACAATAAATTTAGTAAAAATTAAAACAAGAAACCAGCTAACAGACACATCGAATCTAATTTAAAACTAGTAGTGACTAATATTTAATCAAATATTTCTGATATATTACATTTACATCTGTGCCAGAAGCTAAATTAAGTATACCTATGCTAATTTNCTTCGCGTTGAATTTTCATCGATGTTAAGCCCCTAACAAAAATTTTTTTAATTAATAATCGTTGCTATTGTATCGTTAAAAATTAGAAAATTAAACTCTTTTTTAAATACTGGCTTCCTTTCATGGTCGAGCCATGTTGCCAGCTAAAACACGTAAAAATACTATTAAAGTAGCCAAGACATAGCCAAATATTGTAGTGCCACATCACTAGCGGACATTTGAATTTGCTGACTAGAATGGTCGGTTAACCGATGTGACGGTTAATCGGGGGTTGGATAATCGATGCTCTACTGTACTTATGTCAATATGCTTAATATCAAGTTATTTTAATAAATTATCCTATTAAAAATTCTATTAACTCAAATATTACCTTTAACACTCGTATTAAAAAAATAATAATTTTTTCATACAATAGAGAACACATGCCAATCAAACATCTGGCCATTCGTCTTCTACAGAAGCACTTTATCAATGTCACACCCAGTAACATATTTTCAATTTTTTTTCACTATTGGCCTCTAGTATCACTCAAATTATCTGTGTATAATTTGACTCCGTCTTCATTTACAGTATTTTCAAAATCTTCATAAATTAATTTTTCTATTTTTTATGGATAAAAGGAAGTTAACTTGCACTCACGATTTTACACACAATCTTGCCATAGCAACACATGAAGCAGATTTGTGTGGCTATATCAGCAACAGAGTTGCTAGGTTTACTATTGATGTCACTTTAGTAGAACCAATGTGCAATCACAATTTATAAATAGTGTAGATCTAGCAATAGTTGTATTGTAACACATTATGTGTGTCATTATAATGACACTGACAGAGTTGTGCAGCATCTAAGGAATGCAGAGAGTTAATATCAATATAGCAGTGTGCAATTTAGATATCTCTGCATGAAAAATCTCTAAACTTTCCTATTGTTGTTGTACAAATGACTTACATTTAATGTGAGCAAGTACTTTCACCCAGATCAAATGGACTTCAAACTTAACAGAAAGACCTTAAGAAGTAAATTTAATTTGGACAACAGTACTTATTCAGATTAAAGACAGGTCTTAAATTTTGTAACATTGTAAATAAAAAAAATTAGTACAAGATTATACAATGTTCTGACAGCTGATTGGATTTATCTAAACATTTTTCACAACGTGCATCCTTTCAAAAGAAAGATTTTTATCAGAAAAATTATTGTATTATTGCAATTTGAAATTAGATTATTTTTCTGAAAAATAAATCTCAGAGTACATTAAAACAAAAAATTATTATTAACTTAAGTCCTTTAGTTTTATTAAATAATGAAAATTTGACCATAATAACAAACTTTGGTTAATTCAATTTTATTTACTTTTAATATAACAAAAAATTGGAATGAATCCAACTGAAGCAAAATTTATCATTAGGTACAACTTTGTTTAAAATCAAATTTTAATAAAAAAAAAGTAAACATTGACTAGACTTGTACAGTTATTAAAATGAGAAAACAAAATTTAATCCAAATAAATGCATTCAATTTTACTTTTGATCATAATTATTTTAAGTGATTCAATTTTCTTAAAATGATCCAAACAAAATGATAGAAATAATAAGCAGCATGTAAATTTAAGAAAAACCAATGTTTATCAGTTTTTGTTATAAGCATATAAACTATTGTATAGATAAATAGCATATAAATTTTATATATAGATAAATATATTTAATACAACAAAATTAATAAAATAAAAGGGAGGAAACTATTTCTTCAAAGACAAAATGGGTTAAGTCATCTTGAGCATATACATTTGAAGGCTTTGATTTATTCATTTTAAATGAAAAAATCTACAAAAGTGTGTGTAATTTTCAATATTTCAATTGTACACAATTTGGAAGTATGCAATTATTGATAAACAATTCTTCAAACTGATTTTGAGTGATATTTCAAACAATTTTAAAAAATACATCATCTTTATAACTATTTAACATTAAAAATAAAAAAAAAAACTTTTTCTGTAAAGGAAGATAAAATAAAATATGTCTATATTGAAAAATAGTCTTGATTTGTATTATTTTCTAAGAAAAATATTTATCACTTTCTAATTAAGAATGTAGATGTATCTATGGTAGGTGAATTTTAACCAACAATGTTTTACTACCTTATTTTCTACTTACAGAAAATCCATTTTACAATATCAATATCAGATTTGTTATAAAATATTAAGGCATTTAAAGTCTTTCTTAAAAAATTAACATTTATATATTTAGTTAATATGAACAAAAAATTATATATATATATATCCTTTAAAAGTTCCATCTTTTATATTTAACAATTCAATATTTACATTTCATTATCTAAATTAAATATGTTAACTTTGTCGATAAAAAACCCATTTTTGCTGAAAATTCAAGTACCTTCGTCATGGATCCCTTCTGCAAACAACTTCTGCAGTTTTGAAAATTGATATTTCATCAATAGATGTGCGAGTCTTTAATTATCACAGTTTTTTTCTGATATAACTTGACTACTTTTTCTTTTAATTATCTTCTGATACAAAACACTATCTAAAAAATATTTTAAATTTTTAAATTAAAATGTGAGTAAAATATGTGAAATAAATTTAAATATTAATGTAATAGCTAAAACAACAAAACATTATTATAATTTATTTTAGATTTCATTGTACTAAAAGTAAATCACAAAATATACAAATTAAAACGACTTATCAGAAAAATTGTTTAAAAATAACAATCTAATAAGTACTTGCAAAAATTATTTTTCCCACCAAATAAATTAAGTAAGTAAAATTTTTTCATTCTTAATGTAGTATAGTGAAAGAATTAACTTCTCCAAAAATAATAATTATGATAAATATCAAAAAATGTATCCATTCGAGTGAAATTTAAGAAATTTCTATGTATTTCCAATTTTTAGATGCCAGTTATTGTTTATGGTCTATTGAGGAAGTAAGACAATACATTGGATATTGGAAACAATAATTTCAAAAGCAATTTTAAGTTTTTTACATTATATTAGTCACAAAACTTTAAAATATAGAAACTGTTTAGTTTCCATATTTTAAAGTTTCCACTATTTTCATAATATTTTTTCAATACAATCACTCTTTGGTCATTAAGATCCTCATTTAACAACCAATTTGCTTACTGTTAGTCTTATTTATTTAGTCTAGATAAAGAAAAGCTAAAGGAAATGCCAACTCAATAAATGTTTTAATTTTCATTCTTACATATTACAGAACAAAAATTATAAAATGATGTACCAACAACCTTCATTCAGATTAATATTTCAGACATCAAATCCTTCAAATTGGATTCACAATAAAGTACACATTTATAAATGAAATATGTAGTCTTGGAGATTGCAAATGTTTCATATAGTTAATACTAACTGATTGTGGAAATGAGACAGATTAAGAAAGGAGTTTCCCTGTGCTGGAGAGCGTGTCATAAGTCCAAGCAGCCATTAAATAAGGTAGGTCATTAAGTGAGGAGCAGCTGTATAACAATATTGACACTCACAGATTTTAGATGATATTTCTGTTAAAAATTATATAAAGAAATAAAATTATCAATAAATACTTACTTTAATTACTTAAAGCATCTTTAGATTTGAATCTTTGTTTTTTATTTTGGAAACTAGCTGTGGCTCAAAATGTATCTATTATAAATGTATAACACTCCCCACGGGGAGAATTTCGAAAAATCCCTTCTTAGTGTACATTATCTTTGTGCAACGTCATGTCAAAATTTCAAAGCAATTGGTTAAGAACGTTCGAAGATTTAAGATTTTGACCAAACAAACATTTACATTTTTATTTATGTAGATGATAATGATTTGATCGTAAGTCAGGATAACAATGATTTCCATATACAGTGGAACCTTAATAGTTGACCACTTCCCTAAGTTGACCAAATTTTCAGAGACAATTTATCCCAATCTATCCCAAGTGAATCATCTTACAAACATAAAACTGAAACTTTTGCCTCCAAGCACTACATCAAAAATTCAACTTCTTGACCAAAGCATAATCAAAAACATTCAAAATGCACTACCAAGCCTAGCTCTTATAGGAGATCATTGCTAAAATGCAAACTTATGGTCCATCTGCACAAACAAATTCATCTGCTGCATCAGTTACTGCTCTGGATGCTGTTCTCTACATTAGTTATGCTCGGAATAAAGTTCAGCTTGAAACAATTCAGAAGTCTTCAAGAAAGCCGGATTTTTTACAACCCAAGAGCAAGATGTTGCAGCCTGACCCAACAGCCCATCTCCCATAGCAGAATTTGAGGGAGTAAATTTTGAAGATTTTGTTGCAATGAACCTGATCCAGGGGCAATTTTCCAATCAATATTGACCAAAGTACAACCCAGCAAAAAAGTGCCAGAAGCAACTGATGAAGAGAAGAATTAAGTGAGAACAGAAATTGTCAGTCATTTGATAATGCAGTTAGAAGTGATTTGTTGTGGAAAAATGTCCAGGTATGCTGAGTGGTATAGTCAGTATTGAGAGTGATTTCTCCACTTACTTTCATATAAAGAATAAAAAACAGACTAAAATTGACTTTTTTCAGAAAGAATTACCAAATCATGAGAAAACAAACATATGTAAATGTATTGATTTTGTATGATACAGTATTATATGAATGATTTTTCCATGTTTTCACTGTATGCATTTCTGTACAAGACTTTTTAATTAAAGCTATACAATAAAACAAAGCACATTTATATCAGTACAGTTGTTCCATATGTTGACTAGTTTCCTTCAGTCACTTGGGTGGTCAACTTTTAGAGGTCTTACTGTATTGTTTCCTTAATATGGGGACAGTTCATAAATTACATAATGCAGATATGGATGGCTGGGTGAATGGATATACAAGTAATCATTATGATGCATTACAAGGAGATGGGAATGTTTACAATGTGTATAAAACAACATTAATAAAACTGGTAAATAGCCTGGATGATAATTACATTTAAAAAATTTACCTTTACATTAAGATGACTAAGAGCCTATAATAAAAGACGGATTCTGTTGTAAGTTCCTGAGGTATGAAAAGGACAACAGATGAAGAAAGATGAATCCCCATGTTTTCTCCTGTCAATTTCTTGTGAAAATATTTTAAAATTTTCATGTAAATTTTTTAAAAGGATAATTCATTTTTGTTTCTGAAGCAAATCATATTGTTTCAGTCAATTTTAGAGACAAGGTCTTTGCTAAATTGATTTAGAGCAGCGATTCCCAACCTGTGGTACGCGTACCCCTAGGGGTACGCGATAGGTTGTTTAGGGGTACAGAAAAAAGTTAGTTATTATGGCAGGAAAAATAACACAGGTCAACAGTAGTTTTGGTGCCCAGGTATTTTGAGCTGATTTCATATGAATTTGATGTCTTGAATTCAAATATGGCATTAGTTTTTGCCTAGGAGCTCTAATTTTTATGATATAGCATTTTAGCGAAATATACGTTTCAATATCTTAAGTTACATCCATGGATCAAGTAAAAAAACTAAACACGGAATTTTTATTATTATNTTACAAAATAAAATAAACAAGCTAATGCAGCTCTCATCAGTATAATAATTTAAAACTACATCAATATAATTAGACCTATTTATAAACAAAGTCTACGTAGTCTTTTTCATCTATCAGAGTGCAGATCATTAACAGAGTGCAATGTAATGTATACTTAAATACTAATTTAATTTAGCCAGATAATAGCAATTCTTATTTTTATCAGTAAGAAATGTTTATTAAATTTTTGAAATTATGTGTTTTCTAATGTCATCATTTCTTTATAATGAGGTACCATAACTTTAATCATAATTTAAAGGTCAAATTAAATAGGATATCACATACAAAATATTTNAACTCAACTTACCCGCCTAAACTCTCCATAGCGTGTAAGTAGTTCGGCTGCTCGTCCACTATTGGTCCAGATTCGACCAATCCTGTTGCGACACAAGTCGGCGATGACGTTTTACCGCATTTTACGAGTCTCTTTTAGCGTCTTTATACGAATACGGTCGCAATTTTTTCGCCTCGATATATGAATCCGCATTATATGGACCCGCGTTATAGGGGGGTCTACTGTACTCTGATCAATTAGTCTCGCTCATTCAGAAAAATAGAGTACTCATTTAGAGCAGGGATAATAAAGAATGATTCAAAAATATTTAGCTACTAAACAAAAATACTGTACTACAAAAAACTACATATTTAATAAATTAAATTGTTGCATTTTGTATTTAAAATAAATGAATTTTAACAAAATACAAANGATTTAGTATTTGGTATTCGGCCGAATGTTGCATACTATTCTGCCGAATACCGAATATTAAAAAAAGTAGCCGAATATTCGTGGCATCTCTAATTAATACATTACTACTATACTGTAAAAAATTGAAGTTATATTCATGAACTTAAAAATCTGCAACTCTAGTAACTACCATCACTGAAAAAAAAAAATTGAATTTATTAAACTTAAAATCATAAAATTAGATTTTAGAATGCAGATACTGTTAATAGTTCATTGAATATGTTCAGACATAATTCAATTTAAGTTCTTCTAAGGAGAATATTGGATAGGACTTTGAAAATAGAAATAAGTCTTTTGAACAAATTAATTCTAAAAATGTGAATTTATGCACATGTCCAAAACAAAAGGATAGACATTTGTAGATGAATACAGACAAATATGGCAAGAACAATATTACTCAAAGTCTGACATAAGGTAATACAAAACAACTTGTAGAAATTTACAAATTAAAGCAATTAAAGTAAAGTCTTTGGTGAAAAAGATACAGCAGTTGGGCATAGGTAGAGAATAGATGGAAAGTGCTTGCCAATACCCAGGTGGAGAAACCTGTCAGTATGGAATATATCCATCTTGAACTGCAATGCAGCACTGAATGTTGTGGCAAGCTTGTCACCAACTGGCTTGGTGACAGTTAGAAAAAATCACCACTAGTAATTGTGTTTATCCTTAAATTTTGGACACATATTATACATTTTTGTACAAATGTAATCAAAATTTCAGAATATCCTTTTGGAATTGTTTTAAGATTTTTTAAAATAATTTACAATATATTGTAAACTATACATTTGTTGCCAGAGTAATAACAATAATTTACTAATTTATATAACAATTAAATCAATAATAATTTTTTAAAAGTTTTTATAAGATGAATTCAAAAAGTTTTTTGATGGTACTGCAGCCCTGACTGAAGAATGTTCTAAAGAACTATGATCTAACATCAGGCCAAGTAATCTGAGTGTGCAAAGTGGCACTATTATTAGCTGATAATACATCAAGTTTAAATACAACAACAATGATACCAAAATGTTGATTCATATAACTACAGCATCCACATCTGACCACAGGAAAGTTATCTGAGAGCCAACTGCTCCTGGAATTCAAACCACTGATCAGAGCATAAGTACACAGAACTACTGCACCATTTCAGACAATCTGTGTACTGCCATTATAGCAGAGAGATCTAGTGTCCTTTTGTTGCATGATAATGCACACCACATTTCCCACATGGTACAGAAGCTGCAGTGTATGCAATAAGAAAAACTGACATATCATCCTTAGAGTCCTGACATTTTACCCTTATACTTGTGTTTAGATTCACAAAGAATGATGAAAGGTTGGATATTTGGATCAAACCAATGATCATTTTGCAATGGTTCATATCACAACCTTGGGAGTTTTACCAGATTGATGTTGTCAAGTAAAAACAAAAAACACCACACCATTAAGCATTTATCTAAGCTTTATGCATTGATTACCAATTCATTGTTTATAAATAAATTTTTTAATCTTCCTTATATTTATAATTTTGACAAATATACACTTCTGGTATTTTTGAAACCATGCCAGTAATTTATTTCAATTCAAACACAAATTATTTATCGTATTTATACAGACACTTGGCAAATCACAGAATTAAATTTTATTCAGTTGATACGTGTTTCTTTCGTTTATACACATTTCGGGCATTTCTTGCCCCTATTCAGCCAACTAAAATAAAAATTCACAAGTTACAACAGTTTAAATGAACGAATATATAAGGTCATGTTATCTTAAAAACATACCTTTTTGATGAGTTTAAACAATTTTAAAATTTCTTCCATACACTTAAAATCACAATTTCTTTCAACTTCATAGTAACATGTGAATGATCATCACATAATGAAAGTTTGATATACTGTGTTTACTAAATTCATGGAAATAATGCATTATAATCAAATCTATATGCATGACAAATATGAAATGTTTAAAGGAAATTAAGGCAGACTTCTGTCATCTTTACATTTAATGTAATTTACTGAATCACAAAGTTATTTTTATGAAAATGTTGGAAATTTAATTAAGCTAGGGATCAATATGCAGTTTTTAGTCAAGCAAATGATCAGCTGATTGTCATGGTATATGTACATGTACAGTTATATGTGTGTGCATGTTGAGGTCAGCTATCACATTTTTTAACTTGGTATCATCATGGATTTTGAAGAGATGACATGTGTTCACTCTAGAGATTAAGATCAAAAATAAAACAAGGAAAAAAAATTTCCCAAAAAATATGCAGACAATGTACTGTACAGTACATTATTAAATGATGATGCTCTCCAAACCTCAGTCAATAGAAATAAGTTTATATGTATGAATTTGCAAAACATGACTTTTTAAACTATCTTACAACATAATTTAATAAAATGTATTGAATATTATAAATTTCCTTATTACCTTCTGAAGATGTAGCAAATGCCAAAACTTAACTGTTCAACCATTCACTTGGTAGTGAGTGCAGATAGATTAAACACACACAGTTCACATTGTAGTTGCAGAAATCATTTAATTTGAGCTGTGATAAAAATTAAGTAATCAGCCAAGAGAACTGTTGCATAAGAGCAGTCCTGTAAGGAGTCTGTAGGTGTTACTCATGCAACTAAAATCAGCCAGTCAACCACAAATTTCATGCCAGCACCTAGCCTTTAAATCAGTTTTAATTATTATCATTTTTGTTATTAATTAGCATGGCTGCTTTACTTAAAAAATTTCGTATTGATGTTTCGGCCGTTACCATGCTTTCCGACATTACAAATCCTCCTTCAGTAGAAAGGTAAGTAAATCACTACTTTCTTAAATAAATAAAATTAATTTAATAAAACTGAAATATTTATTGTTTCTTATTTTAGTAAGAATAAATTTAAATCACTCATTTCAAAGTGGTTTGTAAATGAAAATGATTCCACTGACATTTGTGTGATTACTAAGTCTGATCTGTCAGCTTATAAACAAAAGGTAAATACATATTAATTCATAAATTTAAAACTGGTAGTTTATTAAGAAATTTCTTCAATTACAGACATACAGATATATTCGTCTCAGAGAATTACTTGAAAAGCACTCAGCATCAGCCACATTGATTGTCATGTAAGTTTCTTTTGAATCTGTTAGCATGAATGATAATTCTATAAGAATATGATATTTCAATTATTATAGAAAATTCTAAAACCAACTATATATTAAAAATATCATAAATTTATATTACTTACAAACTAAAATCTAAATTACATTATAAGTATTTACAGAGAGTATTCCCCATTTGTCTAAAAAGTAACTGAACTGATTCCAGGAACAAAAACAAGATCATTATAGCTCAATTTGTACAATCTGTTATGATATACATAGTTCTCTGTAGTGGCAATCCCTTCTTACAACATCCATAGAGCCAATAAAAGATGTTAAAGTCTTTCTGTGATGCTCTTCAGTTCCCTTGTCACATTTGTTTGAATTGTGCAATGACAATTCAAACAAATTAATGTAAGCTTTGAGCTTTAGGAACAGGATAATTCTGAAGAGGCAGTTCTAGTAAATAGAGAGGTTGGGAAAGTACTGGGACCTGCTCACTGGGACTTTCTCCTATTGCATGGCAATAGGAAAAAGTCTGCTGATACAAGTCTGGCTTATTAACATGCCAAATTCATTTCAAAATCTTCATATCAAAATCTTGGATCAACTTTTGGTTGATCCAAGATTTTTGAAACAAATTGCTATCATTTGGTATGTCATACATCAATAAATATAAACCATTCAACTATCCAGCAAAATTCTTTAATAATTTAAAAACGTTTTCAAACGCATTTGTCATACATCAATCTCCAGCCAGAAGAGAGGAAACTTTGTTGACACTTTCATTGGCAGTGCTTGTTGAGGGATGGCCCAGTTTTGAATTGTCTCAAATCAATATTCTACCTTTACAGAACTGTCAAAATCATTCAAGGATTTGCAAATCCTTGAATGATTTTGACAGTTCTGTAAAGGGACTCACCCCCTTTACAATGTTGAATGGATGTTGAAACAAACCCAGGGACTGGTTTGTTTGAATGGATGTTGAAACAAACCCAGTTCCTGGATGTTGAAACAAACCCAGGGACTCACCCCCTTTGGGTTTGTTTCAACATCCAGGAAGTTTCTGTGACAATCTTGCCAAGTTTAGAACAAAACTGAATGGCTACAGATTACTCCATTACAAGAATTGTGAGGCAGGAAAATGTTTGCTAGAAATATTCAATTATGTTATCTTTTAGACAGATAATTTTTTAGTTAACAGTGAATTGTTTTGACTCTTCCTAAGAACCAAATTTTTGTTTTATTTTTACAATCTGCAAAGTAGACATATTTCAAAAGACATCAAAATTTTATAACATTCATTCTTTTAATTAAAATATCCTTTAAGCTGAATCAGTAAATTATTATGATTGATATGGACCTCATTAATAAATTATCACAAATTTTTGAAATAGTTTCCAAAATATAAATGATTTTTCAGCTTTTTTGTTGTTGTTCTACAATAAGAACACTGAGAATTATACATTAGTTCTACAGAAAATTTTATTAAAATAAAGCTACAAACTACAGAATTAAAATATTCATTATGTACCAGTACTGTACCTTTAATCCCTGAAATTTAAATTTCACAGAAAAATGAATCTATCTTCAACATAATTATCATCAATTGCATTTGTATACAAATCATTAAAAAAATCCAGCAACAAGTTGCTTAACCTTCCTGACAACATTTAAAACTACATGTGTGGCAGCATTTGTTATGGTAATTAATTAAAAATATAAGTTATTTTTAATAATTATAAAATGGCAAAAAGTTTAATTTGAGTGTAGGGATGGGTTTTATAAAAAAACTGTAAATGTGAGTAAAATCATCAAGTCTGATCGTACTTGAGATATAACACACGATCTCCCTACATCACCAAAATTTAATAGCATCAATCCCCCTAATACACACACCTCCCTGCAAAATTTCAGAAATTTTTGACAAAGGCACAAGAGTTAAGCTTTAAAGGTGAACAAAACAGTGCCCCCCACACACATATTAATGTCAATACATACAGAAAAAAAAATCCCTGAATTTTTTTGCATTTCTTGATATTTCAAGGTCCCTGATTCCAATAATGTAAAAATCTGGGGAGGATCATTTTTCAACCAATTGCAATACTTTCCCTCTGTTATATATATATAGCTGAGTCAGGAAAGTAATATTAGTTTAGAGACTAGAGACATATGAAACTACCTGAATTTATCTGCTAATTCAAGGATTTTAATCCAAACACACATTATTAATATTGAAAACAAAGCAATTGCATTTTTTATATGCAATGTTTTAAATGTTTGGATATTAAAAAAAATTCTTAATTAATGGCCTTTTATTGATAATCATCTCAGTTGATGATGATATATCAAAATATTCAAATGCATTTTTTTATAATGTTTTTAATGCTCAATACAATTTTTTATGATTATTATTAGAAGAGATTATTTCTATTATCTAAATGTTTATTGATATTTGGATTTGTGAAAGTGCACTATAAAAAGTAATCAGTATAATAGTTGCTTCACATTTATTTTTTCTCATACATAATGTCCTGATGACAACTGATTTCTTTGCGGAAGAACATTTTCATATATTGTTAAATACATATCATAAAAATTGTCAACAATGAATGTTATATTTTTTACAACAATAAAAAAAATTTCTGTGCTATATTTATAATCAAGCTGCATCAGTTTAACAAGTTTATTCAAAAATATTTCCATTAAATTAAAACAGCCAACAAACTGCATTTCATGTAATCAGCTATTAAAAATATTTTTCTTGTCAAAAACTAGATAATCAATTTTCATGCATTTATCCATGAATTGAATTGTTCTTAAATGGCTGCAAAAAAATTATCTGTATTATTTCCTAAAATAATTTTGTCTGTTAGATGTTACATGGATATTGCTCTGAAGCAGTGTTTCTTTACAGAGCAAAAGAATTTTTTTTGGTATCTAAAACTAATGTTGGAAATCACATCTATCAAAAATAATAAATGAGGATGTTGGTTTGCATGGAATTGAAAGTGTTACCCTGTGAAAAGTCTGAGTATTTAATTAATTTTCCACATCTGAATGGTACTGTCTTAACTCTAATATTAAAGTTTGCCTCCAGTAGACAGATGAAATCAGATGAAATCAGATGAAACCACTGAACACTGGTAGTTTGTTGTGGGTTTGGGCATCACCAATGAGCGGCTATGTGGAGTTTTCTGGGTTTTCTTCACATTAGTAACATGCAAATAGAGTCTAGCTTCCCATAAGTCTTCTCGGAATGCATCTCTTCAGCAGATTGCTCATGTGTCTGTTAGATGAAAGATAGCCTTGTAGTTATCTAAATCAAATACTATAATATAACAGATGATTTTGTACTTATAATCCTTCTAATAATCTTAATCTTTGTTATTTTTTGCTTGGGTAATGCCGGGCTCCTCTGCTAGTTATATATAATGCTCTATAGCAGGAGTGGCCAAAACGTGGCGCATGCGCCAAACGTGGCGCATTGGACGATTACAAGTGGCGCTTCAGTTAGTTCTGAGCAAAATTGCCAGATTTGGCTTTTTTGCGATTAAGAATATTATATAGAAAAATAAATTTTTTATAGTCTGTCTTGGCAAGTTCATTTGTTGCACAATTCGTTACAGTCTATTTTGCAGATAAAATGAATGTTCTCCACATAGTAAATTACATTGTATGCATGTATTTTGAGTCTTGCGATCTTTATTTCCGATCAGTTTACAGGCGTGTAAATGGCCGAAAACATTTATTGGGATTAAAGTTATTCCAAGCTGATCTCGTTCTCAGTGCCAATAATTGTGATAATTGTGGTGCAGAGTAATCTTCACCAAACGAGACTCTGGCAGCTATAGCACCATCATGAAGCAATCGCCCTCTTGTACAGGAGATCATTGTTGACTATTGTTTCAATAAACTGTCATAAAGTAATTAATTCAACTGCGTGATTAAGTTATTCCCTTTTTTCCCCTAAGCGAAGCAGATTTATTCTTATCTCTATTTATCAACCCCTAACATTGAATGTAAAACTGTATAAAAAGTGTTCGAGTTATATGGCGCATCTGAACTCGTCTGTCAAAAAATTGGTGAATGGTATGCAAACGGTTGGCCACCCCTGCTCTATAGTATGTGTGTATGCACACGCACACAGAAACTTACTGTAAATTGTTGCATACTTATTCAAATTGTTAGTGGCCAATCTCTAAGGTTGAGAAACACTACTGCAAAGCAATATCTAAATTTTCCTCAGTTGGCATAGCAACAATTAACTTGAATTGCTATTTAGATCTAATAGTTCAAATTACATGATCTAAATTGATTAATTTTCATAAAAAGTAGATGATATGGGTACAAGTTATATTCTGGGTCAATCTTCCAGAATTTCCTAAATCCTAAAACAAAAATCAAATATTATTAAAACATAATTTAAATAAATTTGACAATTTGATCTAAATTAAAATTAGCATAACATTAGTGTGGAAATATCCAGCTTTTGCTTTATAGTGACAATTTTGCATCAAATGTATTATTGCAAATTGAATAATGAGTGCTGTATAGTACATAGAAGTAATCATTATTCTCATTGTAACTACAAAAAAGCTAGTTAAATACCATATATCTACATAATACTATATTAATCATTTCTTTAAATCATTGTCAAAGATGTAATTTACTTAAAATCTTCATAGTTTATGTTGACATCTCTTGTACAAATCAAAAAGTAATCAATAATTTTAGATAGTTATATCTTAAAAGAAAATATTAGAATTTTTGTTTGAAAAAAATGTAATCTGAGTTTTTTTTTATTTCATGCAACTACAGTATATTTTAAAAATTATAAACCTCAGAACTCTTGTATTTAACAATTATTCAAAATAATATATCAAACAGTAAATGTTTTATCATCATAGCAAAATTTATTTATAAATTGAATTATTATATTTAAATAATTCATACTGTTTAATGATCATAAATTTAAGAAATAAAAATATTATATGACGATAGTTTTTTCTAATTTTAACTTAGTTGAAACTTTATTGGAATATTTATCATTAGATAAAGCTTATTTAAAATATAGCTGGTTTAAATTATTATTATTAATTTTACTGAATTCTGAATGATCAGAATGTATATATTTTTTTTATTTTTTCAGGACACTTCCAATACTTAGAAGAGGTGGATTTCCCGAACCACTATATCTNAAAAAATAAATACATATTAATTTTAATTATATGAAAATAATTGCACAATATTTTATTATAACTGCATTATGTATCTTATTACAAACATGCGAAAAAAAAAAAAAAGAACAGCTTGCTATTGTATATTCAAATATTTGTGGCAGAGTGGAAGCGCTGTATTGTCAGCTTCCAAATAACCAGATTCGCGCATGCGCTTTACAGAGTACCAACTTCATCCGGTTTAGCTGGTCGAAGCCTATAACCTTGGGTGGATGCTACATATATAACGCTTCCAATTCTATCCACGACTGGTTCTGGGCTGTTAGCCGCCTGCCCGCTAGATATTTGGCAGCCCTTGCCTGATTATGTGAATCATGAGTAGATTTATGACTTAACCCAACCAATAAGAATTTACTTGTATGTTTTTATGATAGTTCTGTATAGTTGACAGAAGTTTAAAAAAAAATCCATTAAAATATTTGATATATTTATTCTGGTTTTATTCTGCTCTCCCATCTTATATTACTTACAGATTTCAATGTTAAACCAGTGATATTACGATTTCATGTGTCCCATTTATAAGGAGATGTAGAAGAAAACGTGTACAATTCTTGTACAATGTTAAAAAAAAATTAACTGTTACTTTGACAGCATCATTTACAACTAAATTTAATGAATGAGAGAGATGCACGAGGTTCAGAAAAAGCTCTAGAATTTATTTTCCTTAAATTTATGATTTATATATCCATTGTCATAAAAATCTGTCTTTCCACTTTTTTCCCGAGACTACAAATATTCGAGTACAAAGTAACCAGTGTCGACTTATTTCTACTTAAGTAGTTAAATAATTAAGAGATTAGGGAATTGGGGACATAAATAAAACCCTGATGAAAGAGCCAAAACTTTACTTAAACAAAAGCTTAACCAAACCAATCTCTAGCCAAGTACAGTGGGGACTGATTTCTTTGAAATATTAAATGTAATAAAGACAGACATTTTTCCAGTTCAACAAGAGTGACCGGAAAGTTGTAAATTTTGGAAATTTCCGTGGACAACACCTGGTCCTAAAACGAATTAGTTAAAAAACAAACGACAGACAATCTATTAAGTTTAACATATTTAGATTTTTACAGCTGTGGTGAGAAACCTTTAAAATTTACAACAACCCTGTTGCGTCCTTTGAGATATACTAGTGATGTGACAAAAGAGGCATTTGACATTAACTGGTATCGGCACCCTCAGGATTTGGCAGCCAGCGTGCATGCTCGCACCGCACACCTAGCAGGACTGTCTCTGATTCCACTTGTAGGGAGCTATTTGACTAAGTGGTTAAGATTTAAAAAGTAAAGATGATTTTGTGTTATTTTTATGTACGTTTCTTTACAAAGCTATATTTAATTATAATTTTCTTTAAAAGTATATTCATACAATTGAAGAATATTTTGTACCAGGTATGTAAATCCACCACACATTTTATTTCACCAAGTAAGTTTTTATAATTTTATTT